GGCTATTTTAATGAAAATAACAAAAAACGGAATAATTATAATTAGAAGTCCATTATAATTTAATTGGTAAAATATTGGAACAAAGTTTTCTTTATAGTTATCAAAATACAAACCAGATTAAATAGAAAATGAATTAAAGAAAAACAAATTAAGCCTTAGAATCGTTGAGATGTGTAAAATGCAAATATAAGAAGCTACAACGAAACATCTTATTTTCTAAGTTATAAAATTGTTTTTAGCGGTATGATGACGATTCTGAAAGAATAATTAAATGTTTGGGCGTGAGGTCTGTGATTTCGTATATTATGCATATGCAATAGAAGTGGTGAAATACTAATACAGGGTCAGAGATAAAGTAACGAATGTCTTTTCTAGAGACTGAGTGATGATAGATACAGTCAGAGACAAGATGATTGATTTCTATTTATAGTAATTAAGGCTCTAGAGTTTAATCAAAATATAAATAAGGAAACAAATTAAAAGCAATAATAAAAGACAACTTGATGACAGTTAGTTTTCTCGTATGAATTGTTTTACATTTGTCATTTCGCAACATTTTATAGCTTACTATAGGGTATGATTTTTGCTCATTTTTGAAGGCCGTATTGTGACATATAGTTGTTAACCTCAGTTCTACGGTCATTTGGTCTCTGGCGGAGAGTTGTCTCATTGGCAATCATACCACGTCTTCCTTTTTTATATAAAGAAATTATACTTGTAATCGTATCAAATAATACACGTTAACCCTGGAAATTACGACGAAATATTAAAGGCACCTTTTATGTGTGTTAAATGCAGAAGTTATATGTCATATCGAAACAGTTCATAAATGAATATGCGTTTGGGTCCTTAAAATAATTCTATTGATATGAAAAGATTTACAGACACACTGAGTGATATTCTTTGTGGGATGTGACCCCCCCCCCCCCCCGCCCACACACACACACACACAAAATCAGACCGAAAACGTTGAAGTAGCAGGTGAACAACTTCATCCCACCTAAAGAAGAATCAGTGCAAGTTTCTTGGAATTCCGTAAATTTGTTTTCAAGGAGTTGAGGCAATCTATTCATATGCGAATTTAGATAATCTAGTTGATAAACCATGCATCTTTATATTACAATTATCTGATCTTATATACCAAACAGGCATTTAGGTTCACGATTGCCTTTCTTTTTTTAAAGAAAGCAACTTTTTGTTTTACTGCATAACTAATCATGTAATCGATTTTGTAAATTTATAAAATATTTGATATAAATAAAATGAAAAATTAGTTACAACCTACCAACTCCAGATTCACATTACAAATGTAATGAACAAAAGTTAAATGAAATATTCGTGAATAAGAGAGCAAATTCTAATTACAAATAAACATGCACCATTAAAATCAAGACATTAGAGAAATGACTGCTTCCATGTATGTATATACAGATTTCAGAAAATCAATATACCGAACTGATTGACTAGGATTATCAGTTTTTCCTACCGAAGGTCTGTGGTTCCCTCTGGCTTCATCCATCAATAATAAAGAGCTGCGCCATGAAATTTATAAAAAAAAATTAAAGCTAGGGAACTTATTTTAATAGATATAAACCAGTCACTAAAGTTTCATGAAAACTGGTCAAATCATTTTTGAGTTATTGTTCGAAAACTATAACCCCCCCTTCCCCTTTTCAGTATGAATAAAATCCCATAACTTAGAAACGTAAAATCTAAAATTATTAAAAATCGAAAGGGAGCTTACGTCAATAGATATATACAATTCACCAAAGTTACATGAAAATTGGTTAAGCGTTTTTGAGTTATTGTCCGACATGTTGACGACGGACGGACAACGGTATACCATAATACGTTAAACGGGCGTATAAAAACCACTAAATAGCACTATAGAGCTGAAAGTGGCGTTAAACAGCAAACAATCAATCTAAACATTTTGGGTTCTTTTCTAAACAGACCAAATAAACAAACTATTCCATTCTTTTATACTGAGTATTTTTATTATTTTATATGGTCCCGCTCCAAAGGAGGGGTATACTGTTTTAACTCTGTCTGTCCGTCCTTCCGTCCCATGAAATCCCGTCGCAATTTTCTCAGGAACTACAAATCAGATCTTCCTGAAACTTGTTTTCAGTCTTCATATGAACATGCTATACCGTGTGATGCGCACGGTTTCAGATTCATCGATCGTCAACTTTCTGTTTACCGAATACTTATATATATTGGAACATATACTGGCATGTATGAAAAGTTTCGTCGCATATTTTTATTGAACTACAAATAAGAGCTTCCTGAAACTTGCTATCAGGTTTCATGTCATCTTACTATACCGTGTAATGTGTTTTCAGATTCATTGCTCATCATAGTCACTTTCCTCAAATCAAAAGCATGTCACAAATCATTCACATAAGATCCTATATTTACCGATTATTTATCTATTCTAACACATAATCGCCATGTATGAAATTTTTGTCGCATTTTCCTAGGGAACTACAAATAAGAGTTTCCGGAAATTTTTGCCAGTCTAAATGAGATAACGTTTGACTGTCACGTGTGTCAGGAAATGTTTCAGATTCATCGCTCATCAACTTCCTGCGTACCGAATTCGTAACGGATGGAGGTATAATTAGTGAGCAGTAGCTCAAAGTTTCACTTGTTCCCTCTGCATGGCTTATTTGTAAGTAAAAAAAATAAAAATAAAAAAAATAAAAGTGCAGGTAGGAGCTAGTACTTCGTTTTTGTCTACGATGACTTTATCAATTCATACGAAGATCTTCTGAATATAGCTAACATATAAACAAGAAGATGTGGTATGAGTGCAAATGAGACAACTCTCCATCCAAGTCACAATGTATAAAAAGTAAACAATTATAGGTCAAAGTATGGCCTTCAACACGGAACCTTGGCTTACACCTAACAGCAAGCTATAAAGGGCCCAAAAATGACTAGTGTAAAACAATTCAAACAGGAAAACCAACGGTCTAATCTATATAAAAAACGAGAAACGAGAAACACTTATTATAAACCACACCAACAAACGACAACCACTGAACAACATGCTCCTGACTTAGGACAGGTGCATACAAATGCAGCGGATTTAAACGTTTTAACAGGCGCCAACCTCCATCCTAACCTGAAACAGTAGTGTAACATTAGAACATAAAAAGACACACTATAAAATATCAATAGAAATGGCTCAACTCGATCAAAAAGACATATAAACAAAAACAAGTAAACATACACTGAACGAATAAGTTTGATCTATGACACAATATAGATACAATATTAATAAAAAAAAATACGTAGGAACAGAACAATGTCAAAAAGACAACTCTCACCTGGGACAGAATGGCGTCAAATAAAACAACGTGTACACGACAGGTAAATTTATATATAATAATTTTGTTGTTAGTACGGAAGCATTTTTACCAAAATATAATTTGTCGTTCACAGTACAGAAGTGAAAACTTATCGTCATACTAAATACTTATCAAAGGTGGTACACATTAAAAATAGTGAGAAGAGATATAACACAAATTAAGTAAACATTGAATAACAGAAATGCATTAAAAATTGTGTCAACAGGTCAAATTAACAAGAAAGTGCGATTTGAGAGTACTCGCATTCATTGAAAGCTAGTTAAAAGCCAAAAACAATTAATAAGAAAAAATCATGCATCAGAGACTAAAATCAATTAAAACACATACCAGGGATTTAGTGTTTTAACGCCATGAACAGTCAAAGAAGACATGACTTGTGCAATGCCAAAATAAAAGTATCGATAGGCAGTAGGATAGTTAGGATTTAATCTTACAATAAATATCTCTAAATAGAAAATAAACGTGGATGTGTATTTATACATCCCAAAACCATTCGAAAAGAAAACACATTTAGTTTTGTTTTAATTTGTTGGTGACAAATTCCATGCCTTCTTTGTAGTTCAAAAGAATAAGAACTATGGCACTGGGGATATTTAAGATAATAAATAGAATAACTCCTGTATGTTTACATGACTTGGTAAATTAAAATACTAAAAATCTAAAATTATTTTTTTCATGTATTCAAATATATTTGATGCACCTCATGTTAAAACCCCAAGTTACGGTATGGAAAAAACCCTTAAAGAATGCGACAGCTACACTGTGGAACAGATTTTCATATAATTTCAGGAATGAAACAGCTTTTCACCTTTTAAGGGTCTTATGCAGTCCCGGAATGGCCGGATGTGTCGCTGTTCTTCGTGTGCGATTTTTTTAATGCTTTGAATTTGTTGTTTTTAATTATTTCTTTTAAATACCCAAATGTTAACTGCATAAGTATATCACTTATAAGACCAAAGACATATATATTGTAGTATATATGTCTCTGTCAAATATATAGTCGTCTCAATGTTACGTGATTTGAGTTATGTATTTCTACCTTGTATTTTTTTTTTGTTTATGTTCAGCATGCGCGCTTTTTTTTCTTTCCTCTTTTTTTTTTTTTATTTATCAGTTTAATGCATGTGTTGTCACTGTTGCTATGCTTTACATGTAATGCAAAACCGTGAGCTGCTAATCAATAATCATTGTTTTTTGGAAATTTTAGTTGTTGGCATTTGCCTGGGAACTGTATATCTAACGGGAAATGAATCTGATAGGCTTTTCAGTATAAAATTGATAAAGTGTCGGACTGCACGAGACTTGGCGAGATTTATGGATTTTGGTGACGTCTGACTGAAAAACTATTGGAACTGCTCAATAAATTAACCACATAATTTTGCATACATGTTTTAATGTGAGTTATATGTTTTAATCAACAAAATTGTGTTTTATTGTTCAATTCATTCCGAATCAAAATAAAGTATTCTTCTCTACTCTTATGACCTCTTATCTAATTTCGGAATCATTTTTGGAATCACGTGTGTGCGTTGTTGTTTAAACTTCAATTGAGTTTCACGCAATACTTTAAATGGTGCGGTCTAGTAACAATCTGACGTAAACTATTATTGATTAGAGATTATTTTCAAGATGTCTGCGCCCATGTTGAGTTTCACGGCAAGAATTTGCTCAAATTGGTTGACAAGACCGCAAATAAGACGACATGGCTTGTTGTATCAATTGGACAGAGGCAAAAATACCATTGAAAAAGGGATATCGAAATCAAAAGAAAATCGTGGTAAATTATTTACTGTATCCCCATTTTGGCAAGGACCCTTTTGACCTTTCCGCAGGTTGGAGATAAATTATCTCCCAAAAGGGTTATAATATCCCGTTTTGGATATAACATCCCAAATCGGATATGAATTAACTGTGCAAAACAGAGATTTTTGGTTTTTTTATTGAACTGTTATTGCAAAGTTCAATGATTACTCAAACGTGTTAAAAGGCAACAACTTTTTGTTATCAACTGTTCTGAATACCTGGTTGTTTTTTAGCTTGATCTCTTGGAAGATGCTGTTTTTCAGAGGAATCAATCTAGCAACTTATTCATTTGCTGGAAAAGTTGCTAAACAAAAGTTGCTACTAATAGTACTATTGACATAGCCCAAATAATTATTTATGACATCTTGAAAGGCAATTTTGCTTTTTTGCTGTGATGCCTTCCTACATTTACATGTATGAAAGTGCATGATTTTGAGCGAATTTAGAAAAATTATATCTATTAAAATTAGAAGATGTGTTATGATTGCCATTGAGACAACTCTCCACCATAGACCAAATGACATAGAAGTTAACAGCTATAGGTCACTGTACAGCCTTCAACAATGAGCAAAACCTATAATTCACAGTAAGTTACAAAAGGCCACGAAATAACAAATTTAATACAATTCAAACGAGAAGGCTAACGATTTGATTTATATATTAACCAATGAAAGAAATACAAATATGATATACAGCAACAAACGACAACCACTGAATTACAGGCTCCTGACTTGGGACAGGCACATACAGAATGTGGCGGGGTTAAACATGTTTGCTGGCACGCTAAACCCTCTTCCTAACCTTGGACAGTGGTGTAACAGTACAACATAAATACAAACTTTAAAAATCAGTTGAAAAAGGCTTAACTCATCAGACGATTCAATGCAGAAAAATAACTGACAAAAATGCGGACCAGATGTGGCAGGGAATTTATACAACCCCACTACAGAAAAGACACTAAGTGCAGATCTGAGAGTACTTGACAGCTAGTTTAAAGCCAATAACAACTAATAAAAAATCATGTATCTAAGACTGAAAAATCAATCAGTACACATCCAACATCCAATGGATTTAGTGTAATGACATCATATATTTTTTTTATCTCTAGTCATTTGAAGTTTTGTACATTAGATCTTTGAATTGCTTTCAGCAGACAAGCCGTTTTAAATAAAGATATTTTTTTATTTATGACAGATCCAGAATCTTTTGTGCATGAATCAGTACCAGATGGAGTTACAACAGAAATTACCAGCAGTTTCCAACAGGAAGAGAGATCTAAAACTGTCCCTCAGGGTGCATGTTCTACTAATATTGCAAATTAAGAAATTAATGTGTTCACAAACTTCAATTATTATTGTAAATCCCTGTAGTTTGTATTGATATTTATCTATTACACTTAAAGTAAACCAATATTGTAGCGGAAATTGAATACTGAATTTATATTAAAAGAACTTTCTATAAATATTAATCCTGCATGTCCCGTCATATATATATGTTTTACATTAATAAAATCAATTTTTTCTGAATCTACCATATCATTTTGTGAAGGATTATATACAGTCAGGGGACTTATTGAAATGAGTGATTTTTAAATCACTTATTTAAGTAGCAAATTTGAAGTTTTGTCACAAATTGTGATTTTGTAGTTTTACCAAAATTTTAAACACATAGGTTTAGATAATATCTTTTCATTAGTAAAATTGAAAAAAATGAACTTTTTGCTTCTTTTAAGCATCAAGGTTTATGCCTTTGATGCAATCATTTAGCTGCAAATTCTATTTTAGTTGAAAAATGCTATAAAAATGGCTTTACATAATGAACTGATACTTCTTAACAGATTTTTCCCAGCAGTGGGAGTATTTTTCCTGTAAAATTCAAGGTTTCATCTTATAGATTGTGTAACAAAATTCTACTGTTCGCGATCAAAATTTCACTGTTCGGGGTCGTTGAAATTAGTGGGGGTTATTAAAATAATGATACTTAAAGAAGTGATTTTTTGGAAGGAAATTGAGGTATGATACTTAAACAAGTGATTTTTATGTCATTATCCTAGATTTAGTACAAGGTCATCACCTGACATGACCCGGTCATCCTATCAACACAGATTTTGGTTCTGATAATTTTAGCAACATAATTAGTCCCTGGATCATTAGTATTCTATATTTAGTGGTACATTAAATTTAAATCACTTTGTACTACTTAAATAGGTGATTATTAAAGAAAGACAACTCTTACTTCCAACCTTTATGGACATAATGTTACTTGAATCAGTGATTTAGAAAATCACTCATTTAAGTAAGTCCCCTGACTGATATATTTTTCAGTTTCTATTTCAATATCATAAGTTATTCTTCTTACAAATGTATTTCAACATGTTCAAAGGTATGTGTAATTTTACAATACATAGATATGTACCTGTACAAATACATCATGTACATTTAGTACTTTACCTTCTATCAGTTAATAGGTAAATTTATTAAATTTTTTTAATTCCCTTTTTTACATAAATTAAAAAAAAGAACAAGAGAAGTTTTTAGTTCAGGTTTTTCCTTTTTGAACAAGTCAACATAAACCTCTGATTATCTTGATTTAAAATATTTTTTATTTACAATCTGTTAGCTGAATATTCAATTAAAATTTTGAGAATTTTTCTTCATTTCTAGTAGAGTTTTAGAAGTGAATGCATACATATAGAAATATCCCTGTAAGATCTTCTCCTTCTTGGCAAATGATTGTTGATTTATAAAAGGAGTAAGTGCGTTGGGAGCCATATTTGGTCCAAATGAAAATTCCTTTAACATTTGGAGAGATGCATTGGTAATAAATATCTGTTGGCCTAACTGTAGATGAGTAGTAGAGGAATTTAACATCATAGAACAGTCAATTTGGAGTCGGACAAAGACTTTTCCGAGCACAAAATAAATTTTTTGCAAAGAAAAAACCTTTTAAATCAAGAATACCACCTTTGAAATAATGCACAAATACATGAATAAACTGAACTATACTTTCCATTCTATCACAGATACTGAAAACAAGCTCTTATGCCTTAGAGACGTACCAATTATCAGGTTGTCTGCATGTTGATATTGAAAATATCAGCTGCGAGTCACAATATGAAGCTTTTTGTTGAGTAAGCTCAGTGAACGATTTCAAAAAGGCTTCATATTGTTTCAAGCAGCTGATATTTTACAATATAAATATGCAGACAACCAGATAATCGATTTACATGATAGAAACAAGTGTTTTCTTTGTTTCACCAGCAAACTGGAAGATGATGTGATAAGCTTGGGTCAAACTTTTACAAGGACGGTTTATTCATTATGACGTTTGTGATATGTCTGGGTCAAAGTTATTAAGGCCGGTTCAAAGTTATTAAGGCTTGGTCAACATATTTGACATCACAAAGCCATGAAAATTTTATTAAGAGCTGATACTGACAGTGGGATGACCGATAAAAGGTCTTATTACACACTTATGTTTGCACGGTACTTTTTATTATTTATTATTAAAGTTATTGAAAGCACATTTTTTGTTTGCTTTCCATGGACACTTTTACCATTGTCATGATTGTAATGAATTTACAAATATACAAATAATTCATTATTTTTTTAGCAGGCACAACTGAAGTACAGAAAGTTCTACAAATTTGGAGAGTTTTAAATAATGTTTCAAAAGAAAAATTGATGAAGATATTCCCTTTTGCAGCTGATATCCATTTTCAACCTTTAGATGTTGAAGGGAAAATGTAAGTATTTCAAATGAATTTTATTCAGTTGCTAGCGGAAAAAAAACATAAGCTTAAAGATATAAATCTTTTAGCACTCAGATTTCTCAACTCCACTTTAACGATGTTTAATCACGTTAAACTATTATCAAGTATTCGGCTGTGTGACACTTCAATGATATTCATCAGTGTTCCAGCTTGATCATTTTAACAGGGCGGTCCATCTGCCCTTTCCTGACTGACGCCCTGCCCTTTTTCGCAAGTCCATACCTTTATTGTCGTATTATTTTAATGAAAATACTATAATTCTACCTGTCTTCATGTTTCTGACAAGTTTATGACCCTCAGCTAATAAACATTTACAGCAGGTGTTATAAGTTGTGATTACAGGTAATCCCATTATCGCCATAGGATGGGTCACTAATCTGCTAATTAATAAACCTCATTATTGACCATTATAATTATTTTCCCCAGTAAAAGCAGTCAGTCGGGATTTCAATTTCAATATTTCTTAAACGACCACAATTTGCAGTTTGTTTATCCATAGATGTTTTCATGCAATGTAGTTTAATCAATTAAAAAAAAATGTTTTTTCCCCCGGACAGTTCACATTTTAATTTCAAAATTTCTCAAACTATCACTATTTGCAGATTGTTTGAATTAGTTTCATCACATTTTATATAACTTTTCATCAAAATCTTTCGACAATTTCGATTAAAAAGATAAAACTTTATTCCAAACCTTCAAAAACATTTTCAAGAGTCAAGCAGGTGCTTTCTTTATCATGTACTGAGCATGTGTGAAAGTGTTCTTATAACATGTATAAATTTGATAGACACTAAAACGTAAAATACGAAATCATTTAGTACATGTAGTATCAAAGTAAATGAGACAAATATATTTCTAACTGAGCAACTTAATTTAAAAAATGATAATTTCCTGCCTTTTTGTTAAAAACGAACCAATCCATAGATGAATCTGGATTAATTCTGAATTTATTATCCTCTTGTCACTTGCTGTTTTCATTTCGTATAAATAAAGTAAGGAAATGTGATCTATTCTTGATAAATTTAAAATATACAGTCATTATAATCATTCCAAGTTTATAAAATGAATGCCAAACATCAATTGAAACATTTTTACAGGGATAATGATTATGCAGTGAAATAGTCATTACAATTCATTTATGCTGTGATTCCTGATTTAAAAAAAAAGAGGAACCCAACTTTTTTTATCAGGAATGTCCCTTGATAATAACTGAAGTGAAATTGTGAACTAGATTTTCAGGTCCTTGTGCTAATCTTCATATTTAAGCATCACATCAGTCAAATCATGCAATAACTGCCTACATTTGTAGCATGCCTAAGGCCTTTAAAGATCCTGGTCCTTGAAGGACTTAGGCATATGTATAGCTAGTAATGTACGTCCTGGGTCCCTTGCTGTTACCCAAAATAAGGTTGATTTTCATTTCCTCAAAAGTTACTTAAGCCCTCAAAATTATAGCTGAAACCCTGCTGTTAACATAATAAAAGACAATGTTTGACATGCCATTTTTGAATTATCAATCAGCGTGCTAAAGTGCCCTTTTCATGATTGGCCCCCTGCCATTTTGAAATCCTAGCTGGAACACTGTTCATGTAGAATATTTTCATTATAAACAGTCAGGGATATAACTCTATAGGGTTATTACAGAAAAATAACATGCATTTGTTATTGTGGACTAAAAAATCAAAGAACTGCGATAACACATGTATGTTACATGTTTCAAAGGGACAATATACATCATTAGTTTAGTTAAAATGTGCACAAATTCTATTGATATTACTATTGTCTTTATGTATACTTAACTATAGAAAGATATAACAGTTCATAGTTTGTCAATTTTGCATAGTACACCTATGTTATTACAGAAAAATTTGCCTGTAATAACTAAAGGGTGTTATCACAGCTTCTCTATATCACTCCAAAGCATTTGCTCAGACATACATCATGCTTGATTACAATGTATTTTAATTTATTGTAAGAAATAATGATCAGAGCATGTAAAGAGGTTCTGCGCAAGCTTCCCAGTAATTCCCAAGTGTATCATAGTTTAAGTTAAATTCCTTTAATAACTAAGCCTTGTTATTACAGCTAAGTTTATCCCTTAAAAGCCTCGTCTCATTGATTAACCATGGTTAATAAAAATGTAATTAATTTAATTAAAGAATTAGTTATCAAGGCTATGCATTTAGTTTCTGCGCAAAGTCTCAGGAGTTCCCTAGAGCCCACTATAAATTGATTTATTTTACTAATAACAAACATATGTTATTACAGATTAAGAAAATTTAAGGAATAAAGAGTAGACAACTCATGAAAGTATCTGTAATAACACACACAAGTTATTTTCTGTAATAACCCTATAGAGTTATATCTCTGACTGATAAAGTATTGAGTAGGCCAAAAAAATTTTACTAAAAAATGAAAATCTTGGCTTAATGTACAAGTGTTAAGGTACCATTGGTTTTATACATTCACAACTGAAATTTTATCATTTTAAATGATTTTCTTGAAAGCTGTCAATTCTATGTTAATTCTATTAATAATTGTCTTAAAAAAGTTTTTTTTTTTTTTTTTTTTAAATGATCAGGGAGAGCTCAGCCAAATCTATTGTACAGTCAGATAAAGGAAGTTGTTTTACCTGAGTAAAATTTATTTCAATATGGAGCAAACATTTTATAATTCCTGGAAAACTTCAAACAGAACTGACCACTTTCAAAGAACTTATTTACCACTTGTATGAGTAATCTTAAGTTGTAAAAGAACTTTTTCTTCTTATTGATTTTTATATGACCGCAAAAAAATTTTGCGGTTGTATATTGGTATGACGTTGGCGTCGTCGTCGTGGTCGTCTGAAGACACATTGGTTTTCGCACTCTAACTTTAGTTTTAGTGAATGGATCTCTATGAAATTTAACCATAAGGTTCAATACCACAAAGTAAGGTTGGGATTGATTTTGGGGGTTATGGTACCAACAGTTAAGGAATTAGGGGCCAAAAATAAGCATTTTTGTAACTTCCAGACATAACTTGTGTGTTAGTGTATGGATCTCTCTGACATTATACCACAAGGTTCCATATTACAAAGGGAATGCTGGGATTGATTTTTTGGGTAATTGCCTCATGGAGGAATTAGGGGCTAAAAAAGGGGCAAAAAACAAGCATTTTTCTAGTTTAATGACAATAACTTGTGTGTAAGTGTATGGATCTTTCTGAAATTGTACTACAAGGTTCCATATCACAAAGGGACAGTTGGAATTGAGTTTGGGGATAATTACCCTAAACGTTTAGGAATAAGGGCCAAAAAGGGGCCAAAAAACAAGCATTTTTCTAGTTTCCAGACAATAACTTGTATTCAAGTGTATAGATCTCTCTGAAATTGTACTGTAAGGTACCATACCACAAAGGGAAGGCTGGGATTGATTTTGGGGGTAATTGCCCCAAAATTTTAGGAATTAGGGGCCAAAAAGGGCCAAAAAAAAAGCATTTTTCTAGTGTCAGGACAATAACTTGTGTGTAAGTGTATGGATCTTTCTGAAATTTTACTACAAGGTTCCATATCACAAAGGGAAAGCTGGGTTTGAGTTTAGGGGTAATTGCCATAAACGTTAAGGATTTGGGACCAAAAAGGGGCCAAAAAACAAGCATTTTTCTAGTTTCCAGACAATAACTTGTGTTCAAGTGTATGGATCTCTCTGAAATTGTACTGTAAAGTACCATACCACAAAGGGAAGGCTGGGATTGAGTTTGGGGGTGATGAATCATAAGGGGGTTCAAAAAATTTGGGGGGGGGGATTTTTTTCCTTTTTTTTTTTCTTAATTTTCCATTTTAAGTTGGTTATTTCTGATTTATATATAAAAGCAAATAATAACGATATGGTTTGAATAGGTAAATCATAAATTTTTAAGTTCTTAGACCACAATCATTCTGTGGCAGAAACCTATGCTGTGTCAAATATTTAATCACAATCCAAATTTAGAGCTGTATCAAGCTTGAATGTTGTGTCCATATTTGCCCCAACTGTTCAGGGTTTGACCTCTGCGGTCGTATCAAGCTGCGCCCAGCGGAGCATTTTATTTAATGTTACCTGTCTTCATTTTCAAAACATTTCAAATAATATTGCTTGATTTTTTAGCACGCCTGGCCCGAAGGGCGAAGTGAGCTTTTCTCATCACTTCGCGTCCGTCGTCGTTAGCTTTTTACAAAAATCTTCTCCTCTGAAACCACTGGGCCAAATTTAACCAAAATTGGCCACAATCATCATTAGGGTATCTAGTTTATAAAATGTGTCCGATGACCCCGCCAACCAACCAAGATGGCCTCCATGGCTAAACATAGAACATAGGGGTAAAATGTAGATTTTGGCTTATATCTCTGAAACCAAAGCATTTAGAGTAAATCTGACATGGGTAAAACTGATTATCAGGTCAAGATCTATCTGCCCTGAAATTTTCAGACAAATCTGACAACCTGTTGTTGGGTTGCTGCCCCTGAATTGGTAATTTTAAGGAAATTTTGCAGTTTTTATACGACCGCAAAAATTATGACGTTGGCGTCGTCGTCGTCGTCGTTGTCTGGCGTCGTCCGGCGTTGTCCGAAGACACATTGGTTTTCGCACTCTAACTTTAGTTTAAGTGAATGGATCTCTATGAAATTTTACCACAAGGTTCAATATCACAAAAGGAAGGTTTGATTTTGGGGGTTATGGTACCAACAGTAAAGGAAAAAGGGGCCAAAAATAAGCATTTTTGTAACTTCCAGACATAACTTGTGTGTTAGTGTATGGATATCTCTGACATTGTACCACAAGGTTCCATATCACAAAAGGAATGCTGGGATTGATTTTGGGGGTAATTGTCTCAAAATTTTAGGAATTAGGGGCCAAAAAAGGGGCAAAAAACAAGCATTTTCCTAGTTTCATGACAATAACTTGTGTGTAAGTGTTTGGATATTTCTGAAATTGTACTACAAGGTTCCATATCACAAAGGGAAAGCTGGAATTGAGTTTGGGGGTAATTGCCTGAAACGTTTAGGAATTGGGGGCCAAAAAGGGGCCAAAAATAAGCATTTTTCTAGTTTCCAGACAATAACTTGTGTTCAAATGTATGGATCTCTCTGAAATTGTACTGCAAGGTACCATACCACAAAGGGAAGGCTGGGATTGAGTTTGGGGGTGATGAATCATAAGGGGGTTCAAAAAATTTGGGGGGGGGATTTTTTTCTTTTTCTTTTTTTTTCTGTTTTTCCTTCTTTTTTTTCTTTTAAAATTTTCCATTTTAAGTTGGTTATTACTGATTTATATTTAAAAGCAAATAATAATGATATGGTAGGAGATACACACCAAACAGGATGTGTAAGTTATTATATAATAAGTATTGTGCAATAGCAAGAAATTTTCAATTGCACAGTATTGCACAATAGCAAGAAATCTTCAATTGCACAGTATTGCGCAATAGCAAGAATCTTCAATTGCACAGTATTGCGCAATAGCAAGAAATATCCAATAGCACAATATTGCACAATAGCAAGAAATTGTCAATTGTACAGTATGGCGCAATAGCAAGAAATATTCAATTGCACAGTATTGTGCAAAAGAAGATACTTCGTATAAATTGCTTATAACTTGATCAATTTCAATGGGGTTTTATTCTTGAATTCTTGGGGTTCTTTAATATGCTGAATCTAACCGTGTATTAAGTTTTTGGATTTTGGGCCCCGTTTTTAAATTGGTCCACATTGAGGTCCAAAGGGTCCAAAATTTAACTTTGTTTGATTTCGTCAAAAATTGAATTATTGGGGTTCTTTGATATGCCGAATCTAACCGTGTGTTTAGATTCTTAATTTTTGGTTCCGTTTTCAAATTGGTCTACATTAAGGTCCAAAGGGTCCAAAATTAAACTTAGTTTGATTTTAACAAAAATTGAAATTTTAGGGTTCTTTGATATTCTGAATCTAAACATGTATTTAGATTTTTGATTATGGGCCCAGTTTTCAAGTTGGTCCAAATCGGGGTCCAAAATTAAACTTTGTTTGATTTCAACAAAAATTGAATATAAGGGGTTCTTTGATATGCTGAATCTAACCATGTATTTAGATTTTTGATTTTTGGGCCCCGTTATCAACTTTGTCCACATTGAGGTCAAAAGGGTCCAAAATTAAACTTTGTTTGATTTCATCAAAAATTGAATTCTTAGGGTTCTTTGATATGCTGAATCTAACCATGTATTTAGATTTTGGATATTGGACCATAATAGGTGAATGTCCAATTGAAAATTTTTAAGTTCTTAGACCACATTCATTCTGTGTCAGAAACCTATGCTGTGTCAAATATTTAATCACAATCCAAATTCAGAGCTGTATCAAGCTTGAATGTTGTGTCCATACTTGCCCCAACTGTTCAGGGTTCGACCTCTGCGGTCGTATCAAGCTGCGCCCTGCGGAGCATTTTATTGGTTATTATCTTAAATATTATTATAGATAGAGATAAACTGTAAACAGCAATAATGTTCAGCAAAGTAAGATCTACAAATAAGTTGTCATGACCAAAATTGTCAGTCGACCCCTTTAGGAGTTATTGCCCTTAATAGTCAATTTTTAACAATTTTTTGTAAATTTTTGTAATCTTTTACAAAAATCTTCTTCTCTGAAACTACTGAGACAAATTTAACCATACTTAGCCATAATCATTATAAGGGTATCTAGTTTAAAAAATTTGTCCGATGACCCCGCCTTCCAACCATCATGGCCGACTTGGTTAAAAATAGAACATAGGGGTAAAATGCAGTTTTTGGTTTATATCTCTGAAACTAAAGCATTTAGAGCAAATCTGACAGGTGGCAAAAATGTTCATCAGATTTAGATTTATCTGCCCTGAAATTTTCAGACGAATCCGACAACCCGTTGTTGGGTTGCTGCCCCTGAGTTAGTAATTTTACACAAATTTTGCAGTTTTTTGTTATTATCTTAGATATCATTATAATATCTAATATCTAATACTATTAATTATGATTTTAACCTTATTTTACATGATTTCCAAAGCATCAGTAAATACAGGTGAGCGACACAGGCTCTTGAGAGCCTCTAGTTTAATGTCATTTATGGTTGATTTCTGTCTTTATTGTAATTTCAAACTAGAAGTGACCACCTGGGTGTTCTAATAGTGGCATGTGCTCACTAGAGATTTGGGGAGTCATAGACGATATCCCACTAGGTCAAACTGAAGATTTTAAAATTGATATTTGCCGCTTCTCTGTTAAACATACAACATTTAGTTAGTGCAAAGACTGGTCTGCCTAGAGTCAGTTTAATGTTAACATTTGTCCAGGTATAGTGCCATGTCTCAAAAACACTTTCACCAATTAGCAAGAAACTTTTGTGAATTGTTTACATATATTGCCATGAGCTCCCTTTCGATTTTTATAAATTTTAGATTTTACGTTTCCGAGTTATGGGGTTTTATTGTCTTGCCTTGGCAGAGTCAAAAAGCGAGACAAAGGTATGATGTTTCCGGTGTTGGCGACGGCGGCAGTGGCTGACGGCGGCAGTGGCTAACTGTGGCGTCAACAATGTATTAGTTTGTGATTAGGTCTAGTTCATGGTGAACCACTAGTGGTAGGTCAATGATATTTGGTATGCAGTTGTATTAGCATTGGCACATCTTATTACCATGGAGATTATTTGGCCCCGCCCCCTCAGTCAAGGTCTATTGACTTTGAAACTTTGCTTAGTTTACATGTATTAGTTTGTGATTAGGTCAGTTTATGGGGAACCACTAGTGGTAGGTCAATGATATTTGGTATGCAGTTGTATAAGCATTGGCATATCTCATTTCCATGGAGATTATTTGGCCCCGCTTCCTCATTCATGATCTATTGACACTAAAAACTTTTGCTTAGTTTACATGTATTAGTTTGTGATTAGGTCAGTTTAAGGGTAACTGTTAGTAGTAGGTCAATGATAATTGGTATGCAGTTGTAGAAGCATTAGCACATCTTATTTCCATGGAGAATATTTGGTCCTTACCCCTCAGTCATGGTCTATTGACTTTGAAACTTTTGCTTAGTTTACATGTATTACACAATGTATTAGTTTGTGATAAGGTCAGTTTAAGATGAACCACTAATGTTAAGTGAATGATATGCGGTCATTTGCAAGTTTCATTTCCATATAGATTATATAACCCCATCCCCTAATTATGGTTCATTGACTTTAAAACTTTTACATAGTTTACAAGTTAATGTTTGTGTTTAGGTTTTTTTAAAGTAACGACTTATGAAAGTCAATGGTATTTGGTTAACAGTTGTATTAGCATTGGCACATTTCATTTCCATGGAGATTGTTTAGCCCTGTACATTCAGTCATGGTTCATTGACTTTGAATATTTGCATAACTTACATGTTAAAGTATTGTAATTTTAATTTCAACATTTGCATTATCAAAATAACAAATAGGCGAGACATATCTCTGTGTTAACAGTTTATATATTCATTAAAAAAAGTTTTTTTTTTCCAGTTTTCGGACAATAACTCAAAAATGCTTTCAGCAGTTTTCATGAAACTTTGGTGAATTGTTTATATCTATTGACGTAAGCTCCCTTTCGATTTTTATAAATGTTAGATTTTACGTTTCGGAGTTATGTGATTGTATTCATAAATAAAGGGGGTATTTTTCAGTTTTTGGTCAATGCTTTGAGCAGTTATCATGAAACTTTGGTGACGGGTTTATATCTATTAAGATAACCTCCCTTTAAGTTTTTCATGAATTTCTGATATGACATTGAGAAGTTATTGAACTTTATTCTTTGAAAAAGCGACAGGCACATCATATTTATTTTTATATTTTAATTCATGTTTATTAATCATATCACATCTCTTTTTTTATATATTTAAACAAGTTTTCAGTTTAATACACAGAGGTCTGACCAGATAGGTGTCACTTTTAAGTTTATATTTATTTGTATCTGTAGGTTAAAAACTGCTTTTGTAAAGTTTGATACTGAATCACAATTACAAGAAGCTCAGAAGATACAAAAAAGACATGGTAAAATCACTATTAATGGTTTTCATTCCAATATGAAAATTGTAGACTTAAGCCAGCATCAAACAGAATCTCTGCTGCAAGCAGGTAGTTTATCTATTGGTAATCCTGAATTTGTCCAGACTTAATCTGTACTTTTTCCTCTCACTTCAACAGCAATACTGCCTAGTATTTCACAGCCTTGACCAAGACATTACTGGTTGAAATTTGCATTTTTTTTGTGTTTGTTTAGTTATAAAATTGAGAATGGAAATGGGGAATGTGTCAAAGAGACAACAACCCAACCAAAGATTAAAAAACATCCCAAGGCCACCAATGGGTCTTCAACACAGCGAGAAAATCCCACACCCAGAGGCGGGCTTCAGCTGGCCCCTAAACAAAAATGTGTACATGTACTAGTTCAGTGAAAAAGTATGTCACAATAACTCCGAAACATATAAATGAACTAAAATTAAAAAAACATACAAGACTAACAATGGCCAGAGGCTCCGGAATTGGGACAGGCGCAAAAATGCGGCGGGGTTAAACATGTTTTGTGAGATCTCAACCCTCCCTCTATACCTCCAGCCAATGTAGAATAAACGAACACACAGCAATACGCACAGTAAAACTCAGTTTAAAAGAAGTCCGATGTCAGAATAGGTAACAGAAGAAACTAAGTTATGACAATGATACATGAATTAACAACAGACTACTAGCAGTTACTGACATGCCAGCTCGAGACCTCAATTAAACTGATTGAAAGATTATGTCTTCATCATATGAAAATCAAGCACAATCCCTCCCGTTATGGGTTTAGTATCATACCATCTTAAAATATATGAGAAGAACATAACCCGTATCATGCCAACAACTGGTTTAAGAATATGTGTTTATTTCTGATGCAAAAAACCTATGAGTGAATCAATATTAGTACATAAATATGCCATCTTTAATGACCTGACAACAGTATGGTAACTACATGTGTATATCCCTTCTGAATAAGTCTGTTTATAGGTTTGGTTAGCTTTTGAGGTGAATAACGACATTTTTGTGCTTTGTATAGAATATTACCATAAAAGATTGGATGTGAAATACCTGAACATATAAGATGTCTGCATGTTGATTTATATTTACGAATGATGTCCTTGTACTGATGATAAAATTTAGTAAGTGTTTTGACTAGTTTCACTTCAAACTGCTCAGAGTCCGAAAAGACCAGTTTTTGTGACGACATCATACCATTATACGATCCCAAAAAATTTTTTGCGGTCGTATAAAAATTTAATAACACTTTTAGATATTTGGATGATAATATTAGATCTCAATAATGACGACTTCAGTATGTATACTAAAGAGATTTATCCTGCTGAACTGACTTTAAATAAATCTTATACTAACAATGAACACTGCCCTTTCCTGGATCTTGATATCTATATCTTTAACAGGAAGATTAATACCAAAATTTACGATAAAAGAGATGATTTTTCATTTCCTATTGTTAACTATCCATTTTTGTCGAGCCTTCGACTTTTGTCGAAAAAGCGAGACATAGCGAACCTACATTCCGTCGGCGTCGATGTCGGCGGCGGCGTCCACAAATATTCACTCTGTGGTTAAAGTTTTTGAAATTTTAATAACTTTCTTAAACTATCCTGGATTTCTACCAAACTTTGACAGAAGCTTGTTTATGATCATAAGATAATATTCAAAAGTAAATTTTGTAAAAAAAAATTCCATTTTTTCCATATTTTACTTATAAATGGACTTAGTTTTTCTGCCAAGAAACATTACATTCACTCTGTGGTTAAAGTTTTTGAAATTTTAATAACTTTCTTAAACTATCCTGGATTTCTACCAAACTTGGAAAGAAGCTTGTTTATGATCATAAGATAGTATCCAGAAGTAAATTTTGTAAAAAAAAAAAATCCATTTTTTCCGTATTTTACTTATAAATGGACTTAGTTTTTCTGCCAAGAAACATTACATTCACTCTGTGGTTGAAGTTTTTGAAATTTTAATAACTTTCTTAAACTTTCCTGGATTTCTACCAAACATGGAAAGAAGCTTGTTTATGATCATAAGATAGTATCCAGAAGTAAATTTTGTAAAAAAAAAAATCCATTTTTTCCATATTTTACTTATAAATGGAATTAGTTTTTCTGCCAGTTAACATTACATTCACTCAGTGGTTAAAGTTTTTAAAATTTTAACAACTTTCTTAAACTATCCTGGATTTGTACCAAACTTGGACAGAAGCTTGTTTATAATTAAAAACTAGTATCTAGAAGAAAATTTTGTTAAAATTTTGTTTGATTTTTTCCGTATTTTACTTATAAATGGACTTTGTTTTTCTTCCAGTTAACATTACATACAGTCTGCAGTTTAAGTTTTTAAAACATTTATTAGATTTATAAACTATCCTGGATTTTTACCAAACTTGGACAGAAGCTACTAACAATCAAAAGATAGTATAGAGAGGAATATTTTTATTTATTTTTTTCCTCATTTTTGTTGAGCCTGCGATTAACAGCAAAAGTAGGCGAGACACTGGGTTCCGCGGAACCCTTACGAATTTTTAGATGGTGACGTTCCCTTGTCACCATCTTATGGTGTTTAAATATCTCAACTTGTTCAATTGGCTCGTGTATGTAACAACGTATTTGATTTTAACGAAAGAAATCTCTGTATTACTGAAAAATTGTTTTGTGAGATACCACATTTATTTTGTGTCAGAAACCTATATTATGTCAAAAATTTGATCACAATCAAAATTCAGACAGTATCAAGCTTGAATATTATATCCAAATTTGCCCCAACTGTTCAGGATTCGACCTCTGCGATCGTATCAGGCTGCGCTCAGTGAAGCATTTTATTGTATCAGATGTTGTTTCGATGAGTCTTTGCTTATTTTAGTCATAAATTGTAACTCATAACAATAGAATACAGAAACAGGTCCGCAATAAGAGGTGCACAGTTAGTCCCCATTGGAATTCCCATATACATTTAAGAAGGCCTTAATTTAAACATCGTCATGTTACACATATTTGTGTCTGAGTGTTGCTTTACAATAAATAGTTAAATAGTAATTTTCCAGTTTTTATTTGTCAAACGTGCAAAAAAACCTATTTCAATAGGAACAATGTTGAAAATATTGTCAGAAATCAACTTTTAATCATGTTTAAATCAGTGTTTACATTGAACAGATTGAAAATATATTATTGATATTGAATAAATACAACATCACATGCAGTTTTGTGTGTTGATACATGTATTTTTATCTACTTAGAAGATAATGATTTTATCCAGGTAAATTAGCCAATCAGTGATGGATTTCTCTTAGAAGAAATTTTAAAGTCCCAGTGAATAAACTACACAGAGAACAATAGCTATTGTATTTATTCAATGGGACAATAGAACTGACAAAAGTTTAAATACCTTTACCAAGAGGAGATGACTCTATGGAAAAGTTTTATTTGGTTCGCAATAACAGTTCACCCATACTTGCTTTTCAATGACAGTTCACTGGGTGATATTCAGAAGGGCTATTTATGCTTCTTGGAGCTTCTTGTTGAATATATTCTGTCTTATGTTATTTTAATTATCCACATATTTTCTAGTGGAATTAGAGAGGAAAAAGGGAGAGAAAATCAGCAGTGAGAAAAAATATGGCAGAAAAGGGAATTTATCACTGTTTGAACAAATCCAGAAAAGCAGATCTGATGAAGCTAGCCGTTCAGTTCTAATAAAGGTCAAAGGAAAATCTGATGTCTCTTACTTGTTAGATGAGTTCAAGTCCAAAAATGTTCCAGTCAAGTGTGCATGTTACTCAGAACCAGTAAGGATTAATTTTCCTGTATATTGTTGTATATATTGAAGGATTTTTTGTTTAAATAATTCAAAGCATGTAATGATGTTTATATTATATAATTTGAATACATTTAATGATTGTATTGTTATGTGGCATGAAAATCTTGAATAATGGTTTTATAATAAAAAGAAAATATGTAGTTCTAGGCGACACAAAAATATAATAAGAAATAACTCTGACAATAGATTCATAAAACTACAAAACTTTTGATACACGCGTCCAACCCTCCCCTTAACCTGAGACAGTGGTGTAACAGCACAATTAATGAACAAAGGTCAACAAACTATAAAAATCAGTTGAAAAGGGCTTAACTCATCAGATCAATATATACAAGCACTTACCTGTCAACTGTCACTATTTGTGGGGGATTTCCCCCATGGAGTCTCAATTGGAAATTTAAAAAGAGCAATTTTGTCCACAATTTAAAACAAAACAATCAATTTTACCATGGGTATATGATTGTAAAAGTTTGAAGAAGCAAATAAACATCATTAAAATAAATTTGAAGGGCCCTTTAAAGGTTTTGTGGGACAATGAGAGCCATCTTGCATGCTAAACCCCCATGGGCATTTTGAAATGTTGGCAGGTATGAAAGCAGAAAACAATTGCAAGTAACAAAAACACAAATTGGAAGTGGCAGGTATTTATACATCCCCACAACAAAAAAAACACTAAGTACAGATCTGAGAGTAATCACAGTTACTGACAGCTAGTTCAAAGTTAATAACAACTAATAAAAAAATTATGTATCTAAGACTAAAAGCATGTGCAGGTAAAAGTCAGAATAATTTCACCATTTTACTGAATTAAATGTCATTTCATTGCTGCATCATTCATGGAAAGGGTATATTTTAACCAAAACAGTATTGTTTTATGAAAGTACATACATTCAACATTTAATTCTAATAATCTGAGATAGTTTGAAATATATATTTGATTTTTGGGCCAATTTGGTCCCAAATCATACCTTCTCCTTTCCAAGTTGATGAAAATTAATGCTACCATTTTCTTTATTCTGTTTATTTCCTCTAATGCAGAAATTTTTCAGAAAATTAACTACATGAAATCTTTTGAAATTTAAAGTTTTTTAGCTTTATTTTACTTTTTGAAACATATCATTTAATGAAAAAAAAAGATATGGACAGGTGTATCAATTCATGAGATAAAATCACTACACACATTCAAAAACATAAGCAAAGGAATAGGAATTGCTGTTCTTCATCTCAAAGTCACAGTGAGGACTTAAACATGGAGTATAATCTCTCATCTCACTGCAATGTGATTTTATATTTGTATTATGTGTGCCCAAGTCTGAGAGAATACTGTCTGAAACATGATGACATCTTTGGTATGGTCATTCGCTAAGAAAAAAAGGAAAGGAAAGAGTTCTACAAGATCAGTGGCAAACAATGAAAATAAACAGATAAAAACCATCACACAATAGTATCTTCTTATATAAACAGGACATCATGCATATCCTCTTGGGTACTCCTGCTTCCTCCCTAATAAAAAATGGCTGCCACGATAAAGAGAAGTGTGATGAAAGTGGCGTTAATCAATCAGTCAATCAATCTCTTCGGAATGTCTTAAAAACCAATGCTATAGATGATAGTCCATGATTTGCCTTGTGAGTTTCGTTGATGCATAATTTAATCAAAAAAGTTCTTAAAACTCTGATTTATGTCCATTTTAGGATCATTTGTTAGTAGAATTCAAAGATGTAGATTGTATAGAAAAGTTATTCAGAGGTGTTGGACATTTCCGTGGCAATGCATTCAGTAAAATCCCAGTTAGAGTTCGAACAAGATATTTATTCAAAGAAGATCATGGAAAAACGACATTGATGGATGAAAACAGATTAGACAGTAAATCAGTGAAAATTTTTAAACCAAACAATTTTGATTTGGGAATATTAAAACAAAATACACAGGTGAGAACTATAATTTGTTGTGAGCCCTTCACATGTTTGTGTATTCAATAACTTTTTCTCTTAAAATTAGTTTTTGATTAGTTGTTAAATGCTTTTTTTCAAATTTGAACAGCTTTCTTTAAGGGACCTATTTTTACGTAAAAAGGACAAAAAAATACAAAATGAAAAAAAAGGTACACAACTTCAGAACAATTACATTTGCAGAAAACACATCTACAGTACTAGTAGACTCTTGTTGTCTTAACCTTGATTGACTTTAAATTCCATATGTGTCGAAATTTGTCTTGGGTCCCCATGTTGAAAACCCAGTAATTTATGTTAATGTACTCTGTTTGAGTCAAATATGTGTTGAAATTTCTCATGACTCAAACTAAATCTTCAGTACGAATGTGTGCTAAACAATACAAATTTTGTTCATTAAGTTGAAATTTTCACATTTTTCAAAAAAGATATTGTCAAAAATACTGGTATTCTAGGATAATTTTCAAAGTTACCTTGTATATTTCATTGCAGCTGTCAGAGGGAATAAATTTATTATGGAATAATGTGAAATTGACAGAATTTGATATTAGGCTCCAATACTTCATTGCATCTACTTTGAAAGAAATGTTGTCCAATATGTTTCCACATTGTAATGCTTCCCTATTTGGATCTTGTGTAAATGGTTTTGGAAATACAGGCTGTGATTTGGATATTGCTTTAGACTTGAAACAGAAGTCAGCTGTAAATGTAAGTACACACTGAATATAGTTTCATTCCTTTAGAGGAATGAGAGGCTATTTGCATGAATTTTTGGTAAAGATGTGGAAATTGTCCCTGCCAAAGAAGATCCTGTTCATTAAAAAGGGTTTTAAACAATCAAACATTGATCATGACAAATCATTTGAATTTGTGTACCCTGTTTGGGTGCATTGCATTTGCGCAAATTTTTACAAAATCCAATCTTTCATTTGCGCCACAAGGTTACCCGATATATTTCATTTATGCCAAAAAATAAAAACTACATTTGCGCCATTTGACAGGTAACATATAACGGTAATATATAAATATTCATTGCTACATCGTGAATAAGAATTTTTTTTAGAGTATTCCCCCTGGGTAACTAAGTAAGTTCATACTCATTTCTAACATAAAACTGAGAGTCACTTAGGTTTAAAACTATATAGTGTTCACATGTTTGAACTAGGTGTCAAGATGGACATTGTCAATTCTGAGACAAACCGGCCGTTAGTTTTCTCAATTGAATTGTTTCATATTTTTCATGTCAGGGCTGTTTCTAGCCGACTATACGGTATAGGTTTTCCTCATTTTTGAAGGCCGTACGTTTGCCTTTAACTGCTTTCATCCACTTCATATGAACTTTGGTGGACAATTGTCTCATTGCCAGTCATACCACATCTCCTTATTTTTATATAGAGGAAATAGGTCTGTATTTTTTTATGACCACGCATATATGTTATCCAGTGTACATAGTACATCCAAGCCGTTGCTTACAAGTCTTGTGTCAGAACAAACTTTTGGTTTTACTCCAGTATATAGTGCTTTCTTTTAGGTTTTATGATCTCGTTAATTTAAAACAAAACTGTGTTTTAACATTATTATGAAAAGTCTTTTATTAAGAATGTATCAGTATATAGTGCTTTCATTATGGTTACGATGACTGATTTCGGAGGAATATGTTTTATTATGCAATCGAAAACTGTGTTTTAAAGTTATTATTAAAAGTCTATTTTGAATAAAACTGTTTTTATATTATTTACCTGTATTTACCTGTATTATTGGCGCAAATTAAATTCTTTATTTTTTGCGCAAATGAAATATGGTTTGTGGTGCAAATGAAAGATTATTTTGGCGCAAATGAAATTCCAATTGGCGCAAAAGCAAAGCACCGCACTGTTTGTTTATCTGGGATGATGATTTTAGAAATTATAACAACAATGTCCTTTTCATGATCAAATATGGAAAAGCCATATCAGCTAAACAGTGTTAGTGGTCTTCATGTTTACCTTATTTTCAATTTATGCAGGCACTGAGCTAATGCAGGGAAATCCTCATTAATTGTCATATAGAAAAACTATAGAACTTACTAAAGTGTTAATATGTAACATTACCAGTACAATTGAAGTAATATTATTCATAGGATATACGATTTTGTGTATAAGAAATTTAAGGCTTAGTGCACGTAAAAGGTGCATATTTCATAATTAAACTTGATATCAAAAAGTCTGAAATCACACATTAGAAAAAAAATACACACAAACATGATTTTTAAAGAATCATGACACAAATGACATTATCATAATTTATTTGCCGTAATTTCAGGAAGAAGCTCATGTATTAAAATTTTTAACTAACCAGCGATTTAACAGTGAACGCGAATGGCAGCAACATCTCCTAGATATAATTGGTAATATGGTATGGGTATTCATACCAGGAAGTGGAAAAATTAATAAAATACTGAATGCACGGGTTCCCATCGTAAAATTTCAGCATAACAACACCAGAAGAGAATGTGACATCTCACTTAATGGAATGTAAGTATATACACTGAAACTTGTCAAATACAACCTTTGAAATTGTGTTCGAAAACAAATAAAATTGTATTGACCAATTTGCTACACATGTAGCATAGGTCCATTGAAGACTGTCCTATTTCAGAATTTCATTATTGTTCTGTCTGTCATGCTGTATCACCATATTATCATATTATGATAATAGATCTTGTATAATAGAAATTATAGCTGTACTATTTAACAGTTTATACATTCATTGTACAAAGTAACAAGAAATATTTGGAAATTTTGAAGTCACCCATGTTTATCATGTATTTTGCATTTCATTCTAAATAAACAAGCAGGAAGTCCCCCCCAATTTAAAAGTGTGGTCCTGGATACCATGTTACAATGAATATTTTGATAGAGTCCTAAAATGGGGATAATGTGCACGGGCAAACCAGAAATGAAATGGCTATTTCACAATGAACAAATTAAAATAAAAAATAGCTTGCATATTGCTTATTCACTAATTTCCACAGGACACAATGAGCTTCAAGCAGAAAAACATGTGAAATAAAAATTGGAAACTCGTTGCACAAAACTAACCCTTACCACCCTCTTACTTCTCTTAATTTTTTTTAATGTATGGTGGCATTATTATAAATAAGATGATTTATGTACACAATATAATTGACTGCTAGGAAAAAAATTATAAATCATAGAAATGCCATATGTATTGCTGTTCTTCATCTTGAAGACAAAAGATATGTATATAATACTTTCAATTAACATTGGCCAAAAGTGCAAATGAATACATATATTGTTTTTATCCTGAAATTTACACCCAACACTTGAAACTTTAGTTGTTAAAATCTAAATCATTGTCTCTAATTTTTCAAAGAAATCCACATAGTTTAAACGCGGACCGCGAAGAGGACCCCAAAATGAACTGGTACGCAAAAAGAAATATCCACATTACCGCTTGCTCAACATGGAAGAGGGGTATCAGAAGCTTTATTTGTACAAGTACAAATAAAGCAAACATTTATTTGTGTACCTGTTATTTGTACAATAGTTGGCTGATTGCAGGATAAATTTATTTATAGGACAGTAAAAAATGAGCCCTTATGAATAGATTGGACTTGGTTTATATGCACATTCTACCTTTAAAGTTATTCTTAAATAAAATATCCAATAAAAATAAGAAGATATGGTAGGATTGCCAATGAGATAACTCTCTACCAGGGACCAAATGAGATAGAATTTTACAACTATAGATCACTGTACGGCCTTCAACAATGAGATAAACCCATACCGCATATATAGTCAGCTATAGCCCTGAAATGACAAATGTAAAACAATTCAAACGAGAAAACTTAACGGCCTGATTTATGTACAAAACAATGAATGAAAAACAAATATGGTTGTCGTTTGTTGCTGATATACAGCAACAAACGACAACCACTGAATTCAAGGCTCCTGACTTAGGACAGGCACATACAGAATGTGGCGGGGTTAAACTAGTTTGTTGGCACCAAACCCTCCTCCTAACTTGGGACGTTAGTGTAACAGTATAACATAAGAACAAACTATAAAATCAGTTGAAAAGGGCTTATCTCATCAGAGAGATACAAAGCAGAAAAATATCTAAAAAAAACACAGACCTGACGTGGCAGGGTATTTATACATCCCGCACAACAAAATAGACACTAAGTACAGATGTATGAATTGTGACGCTTTTTTTTCTAATTATAGGTCTGGTGTAAAAATGGCTGAATTGATGTTCATTTTTGGAGAATTATGTCCAGAAATTAGACAGTTAGTAACAGTGATAAAACAATGGGCTAGTGCAAAAGGTGTGACAAAAGAGACTCAACCTGGCCCTTGGATGTCAAACTTCATGCTTATCATGATGACAGCATTTTATCTGCAGAACAGAAAACTGTTGCCATCTTTTAGACAGATGCAAGAAGTAGCAGGTTTGTTATTCAAGTCTTGAAATATATAAAAGATTAAAAATTCAAAGTAATTTGGGCTTTTATGTAAGTGTTTAGTTTTTAGTGCTCTCAATGTTAATATCTGCTAAGCATTTTCATATTTTGTCTTTTTTGTTTGCAATGATAATGTATTTTAATCTTGAATCAAGGTTCTTTTATGCTGTAAAAAAGAGGCAAAAAGCATCAAATGGACAATAAAAAAATTAAAAGTTGAAGAAAAACCCAACAATGCCGTGACTAAAAAATTAAAAGCTATAAATAGAGTCCGCAAAACACTACATTGAAAACTAAAGACAGAGCAACATGAACCCCACTAAAATGGGGAGGGGGGAGAAATATGTTAAGCTTTTATGATACTATGCTTTTTCATGTTCTCAATTATGCAATATGTTAGAAAATCCTTCTAAAGTTGGATATTTAAAGTTAAAACACTCTTGGTAGTAATTTTTTTGTAGTGTATGCTTGTGATAATGTGTGATTTACTCTAAAACATTTGTTTTTGTATAAGCAGTAGTTTTTTTATTACAGGATCATAAACTAGTCTCACATATAATCACCCTGGCTATCAGTTATTCACTCAACACAAAGAAGACATGTTTTCAACATGCACACTTTGTTTGTATTTATAGATAAAGGCAACAGTAGTATACCTCTGTTTCGAAATTCATAAATCGATTGAGAAAAAAACAAATCCAGGTTACAAACTAAAACTGAGGGAAACACATCAAATATAAGAGGAGAACTACGAAACAACAGAAACACAACATTAAAATGTAACACACACAGAAACGAACTACAATATAACAATGGCCATTTTCCTGACTTGGTACAGGACATTTTAAGAAAAAAATGGTGGGTTGAACCTGGTTTTATGGCATGCCAAACCTCGCACTTTTATGGCAATGTTAAATATAACACTAAAATGACACCATTACATGACATGAATACAGTACAACATTACGGACAGAGAATAACGCAAATAAACAATACAATATAATACATGTAGTACATTTGGACAACGAAACAACAGAAACACTGAAGTGTCTAGAAAAAAGGAAAGAAGATACCAAGGGGGATAATTAAAGACAAAACATACAAGTTGGCGCCTTCAAACTAGTTTAACCCCGCCACATTCTGTATTGTTGAAGGCCGTACGGTGACCTATAGTTGTTAATTTCTGTGTCATTTGGTCTCTTGTGGAGAGTTGTCTCATTGGCAATCATACCTCATTTTCTTATTTTTATAAAAAAAAGAGACGACCAGACAACAGTTCTCAAATCACTACACAGAAAATTAAAGATTGAACAACACAATTACCACATAAAACCGGGGGTGGACTCATGTACTCTGTAGGGTTCAGGATTTCCACCAGTTGCACTCACCAGTAAGAATACTTTGAGGAGTCATTTCAGTTGGTAAGGCATCATACATATACAATAGCTGATTGGTGAACATCTGTTGTCTAAACCCAAGACATCACCATATCCATTATCCATAGGGGCATGTAAATTCTCTAACACTAAAACTTAATTGAATGTGAAAATTTGGAAATGAAAACAAGGTTTTTCAGGACAAAGGAATGAGCTTTTAAAACAAGGATCAGTTCAGAATTATAAATCACAATAATTAATAAAACCATCATAACTGTATTCTTTCTTTCTGAAAAGGAGCTGAATGACAGAGTTGTTGGTTGGAATTTGTTAAGATCCCAAAGCTTTTTTAAAAGCAACTACTCTTCTGACAGTTCTTATCATATTTGCAGGAGATGTAAATAGTTGAGAAATACAATATGTAGCTCAAATTTTGTCCTGTAATAGACGTAAATAAGTAATTTGTTTTTAAAAGATAAGAATTATTGTAATATAAATTATGAAGTGATTAAGCCTGACTGTCAAATTTGGAGACCAGAATTGCATCAAAAACAAAATTAATTTTTATTCACTTTATTCATATTGCAGTTGAGACAGAGAGATACATAGATGATGGAAATGATTATTCCTTTTCTACAAACATAGATCTTTTAAAAAAGAAATACCTATCAATATTGAGTGTAGATCAGACAAGCCCGGAAGGATCTGTTCCTGATGTTGGTAAGCTTTCTCTAATAACAGAGCTGTATTTCATCTTAAGTAACATTTTCAAAAGCTATTAAATGAATCATTTACTTCTTTTTGCAACAACTTTTTTCATAGATTATAAGCAACACTTTTTATTGTATTTTTGTGGTTTCAGTATATCAATATACATATATGTATTCTGGGTGTCCTTGTTTTTTTTCAGGCTTTTACAGATACTGTGCAAGTTTCAAAAATAAGTCCACAAAATACTTTTAAATGTTGCATTTAAAAAAAATAATAGGAATAGATAAAAATTAAAAAGTAACACAAAACCAACATATTAATGCAATAAAACAATTTCCATTCACCTATTTTGCAATTACAACAGCCTCGGGAATGTTCTGATAATGCTGCAAGGCTACAATGATTTTTTTCAGAATGGTTTGAGCTGTAAACTTAACTACATTTATTTTTATGTTTTAGACCAAAAGTGGAGAATCAAATACAGTATATAAAATATTGCACAGCAACAAAATCTGAAAAGGTCTAAACAGAACACTTTTAGGTCAACTTTTTTTCAAAGAGTAATCTGTCAATACAAATAAAAAGAAAGACATCTAGAGATTACCTTAGGGCTATTCCATTAAAATGTATGTAGGAGGGTAGGAAGGGAAGTTTAATTATTGAATGTGGGTCATGGGTCTTTTTTCATTATGCGTCTATTACCATTATGCAAAATTATTTAAATAATGGTTCTTGGTTGTAGGGATATTTTGAAAGTCCCTTCCTACCCTTCCACATACATTTTAATGGAATAGCCCTTATATCTATTTAAGTAAATAGTAAACAATAGAAATGAGAAAATGAGAAGAAGAACACCTGACATTCTAAGAAAATATTTAATACTGTGTTATATCTTTCAGGAACTTTACTCCAAGATTTCTTCAAATTCTATGCAGATTTTGACTTTGAGAAATATTCTATATCAGTCGTGGAAGGAGTTCCGGTGGAGAAGAAAACTTTCAATGCATTATTCATAGAAAATCCTCTCGATGTTGAACATAATGTTAGCAGGAATGTAAATGCTCAAAATGTCAATAAACTTGTAAAAGAAATACAAGAAGGACACAAAATTATTTGTGGTAGCTCACCAATGCTATATGATTTGTTGGAAAAGAGAATAAAAAATGTCAAATCCAATTCCTTTAACATTTCATCACTTTTTAAAGAAAATGACGTTATACAGGAAACAGTAAATCAAGATGATGTGGAAGGGATTATAGACAATATCACATCAACAAAGGTGACTTTGCCAACAGAACCAAGTTAAAAAAAAGAAAGACAATCTGAGGAAGACAAAAAGTTCATCAGCATGCATTCATAATTAAAATCATGTGTTATAATAAATTAGTGAGGTCTTTCAGTTATTCTACAAAGGATTTATTGTTTCAATAAAGCCCTCTCCAACAAATAAAAAACAAATAACACAAAAACCACTTTTTTACATGAGGAGCAATAATTTCTACAAGCCAAATGTTTTCAATTAATTTTGATGAAATTAAATATAACCAACCAATTAGCAAATGAAGATAAATACAGACATTCTCAGAATAACTAGTTACAAAATACAACCATTGAAGATGCATTGTTTTTCTCACTATGAAGATATATTTCATTAAATTTTCAGTAGAACATAGAAATAAGGAGATGTGGTATGAGTGCCAATGAGACAACTCTCCATCCAAGTCACAATGTGTAAAAAGTGAACAATTATAGGTCAAAGTACGGCCTTCAACACAGAGCCTTTGCTCACACCGAACAGTAAGCTATAAAGGGCCCCAAAAATGACTAGTGTAAAATAATTCAAACATGAAAACCAACGGTCTAATCTATATAAAAAACAAGAAACATTTAAGAACCACATCAACAAAGGACAACCACTGAAACAGGTTCCTGACTTAGGACAGGTGCAAACAAATGCTGCAGATTTAAACGTTTTAACAGGCGCCAACCTTCATTCTAACCTGAAATAGTAGTGTAACATTACAACATAGAAAGACACACTATAAAATATCATTTGAAATGGCTTAACTCAATCAAAAAGACATATTAACAAAAACAAGTAAACATACACATAAATTTGATCTACGACACAATGTCAAAAAGATAGCTATAACCTTGGACAAAATGGCGTTAAATAAAATAATGTACACAGGTAAATTTGAATATAATAATTTTGTTGTTAGGAGTACGGAGATATTTTTTACCAAATAAATACATTTTTTGTTCATAGTACGAGAACAGCAGTATACATTTATCATCATACTAAACACTTATCAAAGGTGGTACATATTAAAAATAGTGAGACGAGATATAACACAAAATAAGTAAACATTGAGTAACAAAAATGCATTACAAATTGTGTAACGTCAAATTAACTCGAAAATACGATTTGAGAGTACTTGCAGTTACTGAAAGCTAATTAAAAGCCAAAAACAATAATAAAAAATCATGCATCAGAGACTAAAACACATCCCAGGGATTTAGTGTTTTAATGCCATGGACAGTCAAAGAAGACATGACAGACAAATTCCTGATCGTTTTGCTTTCTCAGTACTACTTTGTTTGTGACTTTTTAGTTCAGGTGGCCTAAAAGGCCATGTGAGCTTTTGCCATCACTTGGCATCCATTGTCGTAAACTTCAGAAAAAAATTTCTTCTATGCAACTACAGGGCCATATGTTACCAAACTTTACCTGAATGTTACTTAGGGTATCTAGTGTAAAAATTGTATCTGGTGATTTTATCCATCAACAAACATGGGCACTGTTGCTAAAAATAGAACATAGGGATAACATGCAAATTTTGGCTTATATCTAAAAAAAACTTAAGCAGACTTGTAGTTAGAGCAAATCTGTCTGGTAAAGACGATGAGCTGATCAAGGTCTATCTCCTGCGGACATCATTTTGAAATTATTTCCCCTGAAATGTAAATGTTTTGCAAATTTCTGAGATTTTGGTTATTTCTTGAAAAGTATAACAGATATAAGGAGAAATTTTTAACCGTTAAAACGACCAGAACAATAAGATCTACAAATAAATCAACTTGGCAGAAATTGTCAAAATGATTTGATTTTTTTGATTTTTGGTGTTTTAACGCCACTTTTAAGCACCGCATTTGGGCTATTTCATGGCGGCCAGTTTTTATTGGTGGAGGAAGCTGGAGTGCCCCGAGAAAACCACCGACCTTCGATAGGAAAACTGACAATCCTAGTCAATTAAGATTGGAGTCTAGTGCACCCGCACGAGCGGGTTTCGAACTCACAACCTCAGTGTTGACTGGCTAGAGATTACAGTAGTAACTACTTAGACCACTCGCGGCCACCGAGTCCCCTTTTGTCAAAATGACCCCTCATGCGAGTTGTTGCCTTTAAGCAATGATTTTAGGTAACTATAGTTGATAGAGAGAATCTTTTAATAGTAAAAATGTTCAAAAAAATATGATCTACAAATAAGTCAAGATGGATGAATCATCAATTGACCCCATATAAGAGTTATTGTCCTTAAAAGACATATTTTTTGCCTTTTTTATTTGAAGAAACTATAATAAAGATAAATTGTAAAAAGAAGAAGTGTTCATCAAAATAAGATCTACAAATAAGTCAACTTGGATGAAATTGTCAATTGATCGCTTATAGAATTTCATAGGTTTCAACAGAGACATATAATACATTGTATTATATGTCTCTGGTTTCAAACAGGAATAGCAAAATGGTGTAAATAAATAGCATTCTGCAGCGAAAATACAAAATGACTATTCAAACTTTATCATTCGGTTCTTTTATACAGATTTCGAATATCATAAAGGCACCCAATTGTTTAATTTTTTGTTTAATTTTCTCTCTCTATTGGGTACTGGTAAAAAAAGAACAACAACCATAAGAGTAAAACACATACACTCTAAACAACTGAAACTCACGAAAAATGGAAAATCAAACAATTTTTAAATTTTAATCGCCTCAACCCGCTTCAACATATCAAAAAAACTTAGAACATGATACAATGTTTATCATGAATGATGCTTCTCTTTTCGAGCAGCATAGGACAACTCTCCAAATGTATTCCAAACACCTGCACATCGGCAAGTCAAGTTCAAAACAACTTTCTATCTGAAAGCCTCTTTTTCCCAGAGATATAATAAGAAAATCTCGAATTTTGTACACATACTTGCTTAAACTGTTTACTGTTCAGGGAAATGTTGTAAACACATGGGAGTTTTCTTTTGAGCGTTCCTGTGCAAAATGAGGCGGTTTAAACAAAAGGGGGACATTCCAAACTCATCAATCGAATAAACTGTCAACACCTTGGAAAAAAACGACAAAAAGACAAACAAGCCCACAAAACACTACGTAGAAAACTTAATAATGAGCAACATGAATCCCCCTCAGGTGATCCAGAAGGGTACAATGTATGCAGATTCTGATCCACTAAAGGCACCCCATGCGTTGTTCATGGTGAGTACTAATTCGGTGATACAAATCTAGGAGAAGATAGCGGGATTGTGGTTTGTACAACTGGAAAAAAAAGAGGCGAAAGATACTAAATAGTTTTATTCTATGAAATCTATGTTTCCTGTAAGATAGATATCAAGAGCTACCTACTGTACACCATGGTTTTTGTTGAACCTGCGACTTCTGTCGCAGAAAGCGAGACATAGGGATAGTGATCCGGCAGCGTTAACAAACTTCTTATAAGCTTAATATTTCAGATGGTAGAAGACCTGGATCATTCATACTTTGTGTATAGATGCCTTATGTTATGAAGTTTCTGTCTGTCATATGTCCATTGTCCTTGACCTCATTTTCATGGTTCAATGACTACTTGAAAAAAATGTTAAGATTTTTAGTATTCTTAATTTCTCTCTTATTATGAGTAATAGGATAACTATATTTGGTATATGCAAGGTCCTCGTGCCTGTAAGACAATTTTCACTTGACCTTGACCTCATTTCTTGGATCAGAGAACAAGGTTAAGTTTTCGTGGTCAAGTCCATATCTCAGATACTATAAGCAATATGTCTACTATATTTGGTGTATGGAATGATTGTAAGGTGTACATGTCAAACTGGCAGGTGGCATCTGACCTTGACCTCATTTTCATGGTTCAGTGGTTAAATTCAAGTTATTGTGTTTTGGTCTGTTTTTCTTATACTGTGTGCAATAGGTTAACTATAATTGGTGTATGAAAATATTTCACGAAGTACATGTCAGTCTGGCAGGTTTTATTTGATCTTGACCTCATTTTTACGGTTCATTGCTCAATGTTAAGTTTTGTGTTTTGGTCTGGTTTTTTTTTTGTCTCGCCTTGACGGAGTTAAAAAAGCGAGACATAGGTATGCTGTTTCCGGCGTCGGCGTCGTCAACAATGTATAAGTTTGTGATTAGGTCTACTTTATGGTGAACCACTAGTGGTAGGTCAATGATATTTGGTATGCAGCTGTATTAGCATTGGCACATCTCATTTTCATGGAAATTATTTGGCCCTGCCCCCTAAGTCATGGTCTATTGACCTTGAAACTTATGCTTAGTTGTCATGTATTTAGTTTGTGATTAGGTCAGTTCAAGGGGAACTACTAGTGGTAGGTCAATGATATTTGGTATGCAGTTGTATTATCATTGGCACACCTCATTGCCATGGAAATTATTTGGCCCTGCCCCCTAAGTCATGGTCTATTGACCTTGAAACTTATGCTTAGTTGTCATGTATTTAGTTTGTGATTAGGTCAGTTCAAGGGGAACTATTAGTGGTCGACTAATGTTAATTGGTATGCAGTTGTATAAGCATTCTTACATCTCATTTCCATGGAGAATATTTGGCCGCGCCCCCTCAGTCATGGTATATTAATTGACTTTGAAACTTTTGCTTAGTTTACAAGTTAATGTTTGTGTTTAGGTTTGTTTAAGGGGAAAGACTTAGGATAATTCAACGGTATTTTGGTATGCAGTTGTATTATCATTGGCACATCTCATTTCTATGGAGATTGTTTGTCCATGTATCTTCAGTCATGGTTCATTGACTTTGAATATTTGCATAACTTAAATGTTAAAGTATTGTTATGTTAATTTCAACATTTTCATTACTAAGATTACAAAAAGGCGAGATATATCTCTGTGTCAACAGCTTATTTAAACTATGAGCAATAGGTCAACTATGTTTGGTGTATGGAATGATTGTAGGATGTATATGTCTGTCTGGCAGGGTTCATTTGACCTTGATCTCATTTTTATGATTCATTGATCAAAATTAAATTTTCCTGGTTAAATCTGTTTCTTAAATACTATGTGCAAAAGGTCAACTATATTTAAAGCATATAATGATAATAAGTGTACATGTCTGTCTGACAGGGTCCATCTGACCTTGACCTTCTCTTTATGTTCAATATGAAGTTTTCATGGTTTGGTTTGTTTTCATTTTCTTTGATCATGTTAACTTTATGTGGACGTACTTGTAGTAACTTTATATTAAGGACTATCAACATAAAAGGCCTTATCAATGGCCAGTAAAGCAGGCGAGACATTTCAGCGTGTGCACTCGTGTGACTATTTCAGAAATAAAATACATTAAGAATAAATATGACTTGTCTCCCTTTAAAAACAGTTTGTGTTGTACTCAAAATTATTTGTAACTACAAATGTATTTTAACTACCTGAACGTGCATGGCCACGGTTTATTCACACAAAAATAGTATACGAACTTGAAAATGGTGCAGTTAATGGTATTTCCGTCATCCAAGTCCCATCCTAATATTTTAAATATACTGTTCCTGTCGCTACCTATACTGCAATCTAATTAAGAAATAACAGGACTATGTCGAGTTTCAAATTGCACAATTGACGGAGGCAACTATTCAAACTCAGTTATGTTTTTCATATTGTAGTTATTAAAACATTTCAACGGGAAATGAAAACAACACTGTTTAAGTATTGTGCGTCCAAAGCACTTTCTGGATAAACCTTCCGGTCATGAAAGCTCAAACCACGAAAAATGAAAGCCAAGGATGTATAGACAATTATTGAGGAGCTTAAGAGAATAATCATAATTATTTAAGGTGACATTGCCTTAAAGAGCAAGAACCGCAGTTTCTTTATAATATCTTATTCTAGCGTCGTAGAATTTGAGAAAATGAATCATCCCAGAAACGTCGACTGCGATTGCCGTACGTTGTTGACAATGACTCCGACCGACAAGCATGTAACTGACGGCAGACGTCATCCAATCCAAAATGGCGTAATATATATCGCATCATATATATTGTTTTTATCAATTCTTTTTTTTTGTATACATGTTGACTTTGTTTGTTTACCTTGTTTTCTCAATGCAATTAAAAGTACTCCATTTAAAAGGCATCTAACCTAGGTTGAGTAAAAGACGGTGAACAGGTCCAACTAATAGTATGATAATTGATGAAACCTTTTATTTGTATTTTTCACATTTATGGGTCAAGCATATACAAAACAGAATTAAATAAAACATAATGGCAGAATAAAGAATTACAACAAATACATATCAAACATGTGACTATCACGAAGGCGGTGAAACTTTGCCAGAGTAATTGCGAACCTAGGTTAGGTAAATATTACATAGTATATAACTAATACCTTGGAATAGTATACTAACCAATATATTATGTCCCAGCTAATACTTATGTGGAGGACACTTATTCTGGAATAAATTTTTTAATGCACACTCAAGTAGAAAATATTTGGAATCCATGTACAAAAATGTTCGTGTCAGATCATCAAAATCAAATTTTTCTTCTCAGTACAACCAAAACCTTCTAAAAGCAAATTTACCTGAGGGAGTTCCAAAAAGCAGCAGATCCCAAGTTGATAATCAAGCCATTAAAATACCGACAACACCATGGCAAAAAATATAAAATAAAAACGAAAAACGAAAAGACATAGAAAAAAAAGACTGACCAACACGCCCCCTACACTCCCCCCCCCCCCCTTCCAAAAAAAAAAGAAAAAAAAGGGTTGACCTTAGGTGCTCCGAAAGGGCAGTCAGATTCTGTTTTACATGTGTCAGGTGTCGTGTTGCACATGGCGAGTACAAATTCGATACAAGAGAGGCAAAAGATACCATAAAGGGACATTCAACCTTTGTTTAGTACAGTTGAAGAACGTTGTTTAACATACTATTTCTCTCTTCACTACTTCCATGACTACATACACAATAAAAAAAAAGTTCATCGTCGTTGGATTGATATATAACTTTTCCAACATGTAAAATACACGACAGGCAATTTTTCTAAAGCGTTATTTTTACAGATACGCTGTGCACTCATACAGTTATCATTTGGACATTCAGTATCACGGATAATGTTGAATATTTGTTCAGTTCAATAACAAGTAATACAAAACTATTCACACAAAAATATGACAAACCGTGTTTCAGAAATAACTCAAAAGATGAAATGTACACGACAATAAGCAAGTTATATGAATGCATATTAAACTGGGAACTAATCCATTTACTCCAGCTCTAATTTCAGACAAGGTCGGATCTATAACTACTTGTCCACCTAAAAAAAGAAAATGTATTAGCAATTAATTTAATTTTGGATGTAACGCGTCTTCCGATTGGCTGACGTTGTTTTGTTTATCAGCTCATAGACATGATTTTGTCATGTGACCTTGACGTCATCAACGTTTTTTCATGATTTACTCCGGTTTAAAATGGAATTAAGGATTAAATTATAAGAAATGACTGTAATTTTTTTTCTGTCTATTCGAAATAACATAAAAAATGTGGTGCACACTTTAAAATAACCCGCTACGCTGGTTATTCAGTGTGCACCACATTTTTGATGTTATTTCTTCATAGACAGAAAAAAATATTACAGTCATTCCTTAATTAGATAGAGGGAGAGGGGGTACACCGGGTGCACAGCCTGATAAAAAACAATGTCAACTGTTGGAACATCTTCATGTCAGAACAAAAATGACGATACTAAGAGGACAACTATTTTTTTTAACTATAGTAGGATTGACAAAACCGTTGACATGAATCATATTTTATTCATACTTGTTTCGTTAATTATAGTGTCCTGAATCATTACAGATAGCTTTATTAAAAAAATATCATATACTAGCTCAATTTTTTTGTGGAATACAGTAACCCGATTTTCATTTTCTTGATTCATTTAGAGTTATGTTTTGTCTCATATTTCTTATTATTCTGGTTTTATAATTTACATTAGCAGACCGTTTTTAGCTGCAGAAATGACCTTCCGATACAGTTCAATTTGTTAAAAAGCATTCTGTTTAAACAAGTGCTGGTATACAATACTTCTAGTGTTTCCTATGACAAGCCCATGTGTCTGTAGCATTATTAAATAGAATCACTACGCTTCCGATCTATTTGCATTCATGTCAGATATTTATAGCAATTGTGGATATCACTTTTTGTACAGTAATTTTAACAACATACTCAACTAGATGCCTTAAAAGGAACATAAAATGCCCACATGCACAAATATGCCTTATTGATATCCCTTTTCACCGTTTTATAGATTAATTTTGTTTAGTACACAAATTATTTATTTCAAAATATATTAAACAGCCTGTTTGAGTACATTGATATAAGATGAGGCGAATAATTGCTTTTAACATAAAAGTCAGAATAAAAGAAATTATATACAATCCAAGTCCACCTTAATACAGTGCTATTGGTTACTATACCGGATGCCAAAGTAGGTCAAGTAAATTGCTTTAGCAGTTTGACACAAAACAAAAATATGTAAGAACTGGGTAAAATAATCACCATATGGCTTCAGTCAAATTGAAATTTTTGCAGATCTTGTATCTTTTATCTATTAAAAAATTCATGATAAGAAGCCAAATGTAAAAATGGGTAAAGAAAATCGTATAACTGCGAAACTCCTTTGATTGGTAAATGAATGGTTGTAGTTATAACATTAACGGTACCAATTTTAATGCACCAGATGCACATTCGACAATTAATGTCTCTTCAGTGATGCTCGGAGCCGAAATATTTGAAAATTCAAAACCTAATAAAAACGTTGGAAGAGTTATATTGGCATTTAAGGATATGGTATTGCTGATAACTTTTCCTGGTCACAGTCACTGTTAATCTATAACAGTTCAAAATTAAAGAACCTTAGTGAGCGCGCTCACATACCCCACGCCCCCACATTATCACTGGGCAAACAAAATCTCACTAGATTCCTTAGTTCATAGACTCATAACTCCTACAAAAGTCAACTGATAAATATTTCTGGGTGATATGCACATAAACATATCATGTCCTTATAATCATCTACAAAGTTTCATAAAATTCTGTTGTTTGTATTCAGAGGAGTTGCGATGACGAAATGTTCAAAGGGATAACTCCTAAAAAAACTGAATCATAATTTCCTGTCGATCTGCACATCTGCATAGTATGTCATAATCATCTACAAAGTTTCATGAAATTCTGTTGTGTGGATTCATAGATGCGATTACAAACTGTTGCAGTAGTATATTTAGGCCAAAATTCTAAGTTAAAATGGACATAACTCCTAGAAAGAAATGAATATCATTTCCTGTCGATATGCACATCTACATAGTATATCCTAATTATCTACAAAGTTTCATGAAATTCTGTTGTGTGGATTCAGAGAAGTTGCAATGACAAACTGTTGCAGTAGTATATTTATACCAAAATGTTTAACGGGGCATAACTTCTAGAATAAAAATTGAAACATAATCTCCTGTCGATATGCACATCCACATAGTATGTCCTTGTTATCTACAAAATTTCAGGAAATTCTGTTGTGTGGTTTCAGAGGAGTTGCGATGACAAGAACAGGACTGACGGACTGACAGACAGACGGACGGACGGACGAATTATCTACTATTCATAGATACAAAGAACACGAAACTTGACTCACCAGCCCAGTAGTCAGCACTTCTGTGTAGACAAGAATTATCATTGGTATGGTCCTAATTATAGATAACTGTTTACAAAACTTTGAATTTTCCGAAAAACTAAGGATTTTTTACAGGAAGAATAGATTACCTTAGCTGTATTTGGCAAAACCTTTCGGAATTTTGGGTCCTCAATGTTTCTCAAACGTCGTACTTTATTAAGCCTTTTTAACTTTTTTGTTTCGAACGTCACTGTAATATTAACCTTGAATTGATTTTATACAGATAATGATTTTTACGACGAATTAAAGTTTAGTTTACTTACACAATAGCTAGTTTCCTAGAAAATAACTATAAGTATCAAAGGCTCAGATAGTTGGAAAAAATAATTGTCTCACATCTATCAACACAAAAGAAAAAAAAATACTGAAGTTAATTTTTCAAAAATCTTTATATTAATTATCATTTCGTGTTTGGATATTTCTTTTTAAATTTGTTGTCTTCTATCATGGACTATAGGATAATTAGATGTTGCGAACTGTTTTGTTTCATATCTAAATGTGATGTCTGCAAGTAAAAACGTGGACGACAACTAAAAGTTACCTAGTGTAAAATGCACAGTGTTTCCGAAGTTTCCATCACCGCCACGATTTGTAGCAGCTAGTCGTAACTGGTAAAGTTCACCTTTACCGATACCATAGATTACAGCATGCGTTTCCATGTCTGTCTTCAACTCCGTGGCTTGCGTTATGTCATCTCCTTGTAACCAATATCTTACCTTAAAATATAAGAGGGCAATAAAAACACATGTCAAAGGAGGACAGAAAATATCATGAACGAATGACAAAAACGAAAAAGGTACGTAGTGCCAATTTTCTGCTCTAAAAGCGTACAACGCTGAATTATATTTGACAGTGTATATTTATATGTTTTTGAACACAACTGTTTTTTTACCTATATTAAAAAAAATTAAATATGTTTAATATACTTGAATGGCTAAGTTTTACTATAAAACAGGTATATGTGGACTTTCTTGTAAAAAAAATCCTTTGACTTATCAAAATCTTCAGAAATGTACTGGTATTGAATTATTGTCTTCCCGTACTCTAATTGGCCGATATTTTTTCCGTATGTGGTGACCTTAACAACGAGACCTCTCGTGAGAACTTCGGCCACCACATAGCGCAATTGCGAGGAAAAGACAGTGACGAAAGAATGTAAACAAACGTGCACTGTAAGGTAAATAGCAATTATTGATTTTCAAAGAACAATCTAATACACTAGATAAATTAACAATTTAACAACCGTTATGGGAAAGATAAATTAACAAATGGGAACACATCGAAAAAAAATTAACATCGCTCTATCAATTCACTTACTTTTCACGTGCTCCACGATTCTGTTTATCAATGTCGCAATCCGGCAACAAACAGGGGCGGATCCAGCCATTTATAAAAAGGGGGGTCCTAACCCAGGATAAAAAGTGGGGGGTCCAACTTTATGTCCCCATTCAAATGCATTGATCGTCAAAAAAAAAGGGGGGTTCCAACCCCCGAGACCCTACCCCCTGGATCCGCCACTAACACACTAGAAAGTTAGTTAGCTTTCGATAAAAAAATCAATGAATGAAAGATTATTTGTTGACAATACGTTACAGATTCGTAATAATTTGTGCCAGAACGTGTATATAGGACTTAGTTTGATTTAAAAGCATGCATTGGTTCAATAATTTTCATAACATTCTAATTACAAGAAACTTGTTTTTTTTATACGACTTTAACACATTATAAACCCAATTGCATGTTCCAAGGTTTACAATACTATCTATAAATACATAATTATAAGAATGGGTTTTATACTCTTATAATATCTGACATTATATGGTACTAATCAATCCTCTTCCTATAGTATTTATGTTCAAAGAACAAGATAAAAAAAATTAAATTGTAATAACGTCAGCAATGTTAAATCATAATTGCTTTGGATAGAAAATATCCGATTAATTTAGCAACTTACTATGTATCCTGTGAGAGATTCCTCTTCGGGTCCTATCAAAATACCTCTCCACGATACCGCCACACTATCAGATCCATGTGAAGCAACAGCTACTTCCGTTGGGTATGATAATGGGGCTATAAAAAGTTTCAATTAAAAGTAAAGATAATGACTATAAATCTAAAATTGAAAAATGAAAGCTTTGTATCAGTGCTTTGCAAAGTACGCTGTTGGTAGACATTGTGACTTGGATGGAGAGTTGTCTCATTGGCACTCATACCACATCTTCTTATTTATATATACATATATCAGTCCCAGAGAATTTTATCTATCCAGTGGGCAGTTTTTTCTGGTATTGGCATGCATTGATTTATACAGTTTGATTACAAATTTTCAAGTTATAAATGTTAGAGCTGTAATAATGCTTATAATTCAATTCTTCAATGTATACATTTGTGGTTTAATTTTTAATCATTTTAAAACAGGTCGTGTGTTTCCCTTTTGAATTGTTTCACAATTTGTCGTGTCTTTTTATGGCTTACTATACGATATGAGTTTTGCTCATTGTTGAAGGCCCTATGGTAAGCTATAGATGTTTACATCCTTGTTCTTTGGTCCCTATTGGATAGTTGTCTGATTGGCAACCATACCACATCTCCATATATTTATATCATTTTAACTCTTTGGCCATGCATATGGTTCATATTGTCTCAGTTTTTTTGTATAGATATCCAAACTTTCAAGTTTGTTGTACATTTAGAAAGTAAGTTCTGTTTTTTAAGGCTTATATATTACTATTGATAGAACATGGATGGTTTCACATACGTGATGCCATTTCCTAACATTTTCATAAAACAAAATTCCCCATTTTCACCGTTTAGTGTTGTTCTTTGAAAGTATACTTCTCCTCTGGAATTAACTCCTGCTGAATTGAAAACTTGTACATCGTACTCATACCATGTGTTTGGTAACAGTCCAATACAAAGTCCATACGTGTCTAGTGTTCTCCAACTTATAGAATCAACAATTGGATCAGGATCGCTTCGTTCCCAATAATTTACCTGAAGAACACCAAAGATTTTTTCGCTTAACTATTAGGATTATGACTTTTCTAATGTTATAATACGTGCGTTATTGTTGATATGTCTCATTGCCATTAAGAAGATCTATCGCTGCTAAATATTTATAATTATGGTGCTTGGATTTGAAAAAAAAAATATTGTATGTTTTTTATGTTTTAATCTATAAATAGGTAATCAGAGGAAATATTCACATTAAACCTTTAATTTTAGTACTTGACCAATAATACTAATACAAGTTCTAAACACCATTCTTGAACTTTCAATCAAAATACTGTTTTTCTAGTTTGCTGCTAGCAGGCATTTACCGATAAATTGATCGATTCAGATTGCTTCGTTGTCATTTTTAAATTTAGCTGTCAGCAAACCAATTATATCTTTTTTTAACAGTATATTATGAATATTTGCTCTTGCTTAAGATATCTGTGTGAATGTTCATATTTTTATTTTTTCTTGTATTTCTATTTCAGCGTTAACTTGTCCTGTAGAATTTCTTCTCGCATTTTCGTACCTTTTGCGCCTCAATATAGGTTTTTATGCGAAAATACCCTTTAACTTAACGTTGTGTACTTACTTGATATCCCATGATTTTCCCTTTCATTACCTCTCGGGTGTTATTAACTGAATCCCATGTTACCAAAATTGCAGTTGCATTATATCTATAAGCGTTGATACCCGTTACTGTTACGATAGGCACTATGAAAACAAAATATTGTTTAACTTTCAATTAGACCCCTGTCGTTATCGCTTGTCTGATATTTTCCCAAATTAACCTTTTTGACATTTCTTATCATTTAATGTAATGAGAAAAATAATCAATTAAGTCTGAGGTGTCTACATATACGAAAGCTACTCCCAAGGCTCTTCATATGAGTAAAGTTTGTTTTGTGACAAATAATAGTGTACACAGGAACATTAAATTTGAAATATATGGTATAACAATAACTACCTTGTGTTATCTATTTAATATAAATTTTATAAGATGAATTTGAAGATGTCTACATAGATATAAGAAGATGTGGTATGAGTGCAAATGAGACAACTCTCCATCCAAGTCAAAATTTATAAAAGTAAACCATTATAGGTCAAAGTGCGGTCTTCAACACGGAGCCTTGGCTCACACCGAACAGCAAGCTATAAAGGACCCCAAAAATTACTGTGTAAAACCATTCAAACGGGAAAACAAACGGTCTAATCTATATAAAAAACGAGAAACGAGAAACACTTATGAACCACATCAACAAACGACAACTACTGAACATCAGATTCCTGACTTAGGACAGGTGCAAACAATTGCAGCGGGTTTAAACCTTTTAATGGTACAAAACCTTCACCCTTATCTGAAACAAATGTGAAACATCACAACATAGAAAGACACACTATAAAATATCAATTGAAATGGCTTAACTCAATCAAAAGACATATTAACACCAGTGAACATACACTGAACAAATAAATTTGATCTATGATACAATGTAGATACAAAATCAACAAAATAAGGGAAGAATTATTAAAGTAACATGTTATACCGCTGTGAAATGTTAAACAATTTAAGAAAAACAATATGCTTGAACAAAAATATCATCCATTGTCCGTTTACTTTGTTTAAGATGAAAGAAACTGTCCAATACCAAACTATGCATGAGGTTAAAACACTTAAACGAGAGATTGCCTGGTCTCTTTGAGTTTTTAAAGAGTAATGTTTGTAAGTTGCACATTTCCCCAATAAAAAATAATAATAAACGAGACGATGAAAAAAAAAACAATCTCGCCAAAAACGTTACGTTCAATTATTAAATTTGTTTGTATGTTTTAAATTTACCATTTTAAGAAGAGGTGCATGTGTCATATGAACATGATGAAACATATCACATAATCAAATGCTATAAAATTTCTATACAAATAATTCACGGCTAACAATCAATATATAGATAAATGATGAAATGAAATATACTGGATATTAAGCAACCAACAATCAATCAATCAATGAAATGAAATAAGAACATATAAAATCACTAGCTGTGTGGAACAAGAACAGCTGTTTTCGTATAAAATTATAATAGAGAATTAAAGGCTGTCCTTCGAAAATTTATACAAAATGAAAGCAAGTGACAATTACATTTTACATGAAGTACGGAAGCGATTCTTACTAAAAATAAATGATCACTTGGTTTCATTTTGTATACATTTTCTAATACACAGTTTTCAATTGTATTTGGATTTTTGAAATAACACAATATATGCTATTCACATTTTGAATCTGAAAGTGAAATTAGTTAAATTTTAAAGACAAAGCTTCGGCAAAAATTGTCCAGCGAGATAAAAGCAATTTCATTCCACGTGAAATCGATTATGATACGGCATACATGGCATATAGCTGCAACTGGTATAGGAATATGACTTTTTTTTTTAAAGTAGATAGCTCGTAAAATATTTATCAGATTTCAATCTTTATTGTACACGTATATAATAAACATTGTTATATATTTTTATGATATGAGTTGTTTTCATACGAAATGGAAGAATATGACGGATTCAAAAAGGAAAACAACACGTTATAAATTTCATGCGTCCGAAGCCCTTTTCTGGATTTACCTTCATCAGGAACGATCAAGGCCGAATATTTGAAAGCCAAGGATGTACAAGAACCTAGATGTTGAAGACCTGTATAACCAAACAGGACATAAAAAATAGCCAAATCCATCTAAGGTCAACTTTGCCTACGGGAGTTGGAACCTTAGTCCTAACAATTTCAAAATTTATTGACGGACAATTTTAGAAAGGTTTGTTACAAATCATTCAGTACCGAAGTACTGACTACTGAGCTGATGATACCCTCGGGGACTGATAGTCCACCAGCAGAGGTATCGACCCAGTGCTGTAAAAATGAAAACAACACGTTATAAATTTCATGCGTCCGAAGCGTTTTTCTGCATTTATCTTCATCAGGAACGCCCAAAGACGAATATTTGAAAGCCAAGGATGTATAAGAACCTAGATTTTGAAGAGCTATATAACCAAATAGTACCTAGAAAATAGCCAAATCCATCTGAGGTCAACTTTGCCTGAGGGAGTTGGAACCTTAGTTTCTAACGATTTTTTCAAAATTTATTGACGGACAATTTTAGAAAGGTTTATTACAAATCATGTATCTGACTACTGAGCTGATGATACCATCGGGACTGATAGTCCACCAGCAGAGGTCAAATGTGTCGTCTTTAAGCCAATAACGGTAAGCATTTGAATATTGTGAACACCTACTGTAAATATATACATATACAATGCATGCATATTGAGGATAGTATCATATAAAATGTAAATATTTACAATCTTCTGCAGAGTAAATAGTAGATATAGTTGAATTGGGTCCTCCTCCTAAATTGTTGAACGGTTGAACCTTGACATCATACTGTAGATAATAGTTGTTCACTCCAATTTGTGTAACAAACACTCCCACATTCCCATTTACAGCCTCCTGAAAACGTAATTTAATTGAACCTTATACACGTATAGAATAGAACGGCATTCAAATTCAGTATTTAAGACTACATCTGCTAATAAATATGTTTATCTTAACTCTAGATCTCTTACTATTGCAAACCGAAATAAAGAAAGCTAATGTTACTTTTATAGCTGACTATATTTTATAGATTTTGCACATTGTTGCAGTTCGTACTGAAACATATAGTTGTTGACATCCTCGTTATTTGGACTCTGTGATAGTTGTATCAGTGGCAATCATTCTTTGGTCTTCATGACCAGACTATCATTATAATTATTATTATATGAGCTGGTCGGATAGAAATCGACCTTGTTCAAGTTCACGTATACATGTACATATAAAAGACTGTATTTGATTTTGGAACATTCAAATACGAACTAAAAGATGAATTTTGGCCTGTTTTGTAGGTTCTTATATCAACAGTTACAGACTTTGCATCGAGAATTTTTCAACCCGAAATAGGTTAACAGATGTATTGATATTCATTTACATAGGTCGATTTCTATCCGACGCAGCTAAATTATTTCACCTCACTTTTTTACGTAGTTCATTAACCAGTGCAATAATTTTTAAGATTGGTAGCGTCAAATAATAAAAAATGCATTATTGTTTAGAACAGGAAGTTTATAACACCATTTTCACAAGAGCATAATAAAAAAAAATCAAACAATTATGTAATCAAACATCTTGACACTGATGCTTGTTTTGTCATGTTCCTTGATGATTGGACATTTACCATGAAATGGGACTTCGGAATTAGATGATCAACGAATAGCACAAAATGATAATTTTCTCGACGCCCTGGACTTACTTCAATTCGATTCCACTAATTATCATTCTTATCATTATTTGTTTGAAGTCCAAACTTGTTAACTTGTTCGACTTGAAATAAACATCGGTATACAACCTTTACGTTTAGTGAAATACAAATAGTTACAGGTCAAAACAGTAATATGTATTATGAATAACTTTAAATAGGTATTAAAACGTTTAAACCCGCTGCAATAGATTGCACCTGTCCTAAGTCAGGAATTTGATGTTCAGTAGTTGTCGTTTGTTGATGTGGTTCATAAGTGTTTCTCGTTTTTTATATAGATTAGACCGTTGGTTTTCCCGTTTGAATGGTTTTACACTAGTAATGTTTGGGGCCCTTTATAGCTTGCTGTTCGGTGTGAGCCAAGGCTCCGTGTTAAAGACCGTACTTTTACCTATAATGGTTTACTTTTATAAATTGTGACTTGGATGGAGAGTTGTCTCATTGGCACTCATACCACATCTTCTTATATCTAATTAATAAACAGTTATTTTTTTTCTTTTTGGTTATAAAAAGTTACCTTTGACCATGTGTCTCCTCCTTTTAATCTCCAGTAAACATAATAGCCAATTCCTGGTCCACCCTGGTGCAAAGGTGGAAGTGTATCCCAGCTTATCGTCAAGTCAGCTACCATCCCACCACCACCTCCGACATTGTCAGGTGCTTTAGGTGGCGGTGCCATCAGGGTTCGATAAATAACTAACAATAACATAAAACATTTTTTTCTATTTTAAGAGAAAAAAGAACTTAATACCATTACCAGATAGAAAAAAACAATAAATGTGATAAATAGACAGCCCGTAATTATTCGGTACATACTGATGCTATGTAATAAAGATTTTTGGAATGTTACATTGAAATTTATTTAGTTATATAAGAGGCCTTGCAAATACAAAATCATACCCCCATTTGTAATTTTTAGCAGATATGGTTAAGTCCATAGCTCGCAATTGACATTCTAAAATACCATTCAGATAAAAAAAAAAGAAATAAAACAAAAGGCGAACCACGGTTACCGAAGAATGTATGAAAGTTTAAAGTCATATTACACTTCAAATTAAAAAAAAAGTTGAATATGTTTTATATACTTGAATGGCTAAGTTTTACTATAAAACCAGTGTAAGTAAAGTTACTTGTTAAAGAAAATCCATTATATTTTCAAAATATTTATAAATGTACTGCTATTGAATCATTGTTTTCCTGTGCACTAATTTGTCAACATTTTCCCGTATGCAGCGACTTTAACGACGAGACCTCTCGTTAGAACTTCGGCCACTGCACAGCGCAAGCTCAACCCTCCCCCTATACCTCTAGTCAATGTAGAAAAGTAAACGCATAACAATACGCACATTAAAATTCAGTTCAAGAGAAGTCCGAGTCTGATGTCAGAAGATGTAACCAAAGAAAATGCATGCATTGATTCAATAATTTTGATAACATTTAATTTACAAGAAACTCGTTTTATATGACTTTAAAGAAAATCAAGTAGATAATACATTGTAACTGGTAAGTGGAACTTATGACCACAATTTCTATGATTAATATACCCTCACCACATTTAGCGAGCAGATTGGGGTGTGATAGAATTTATTTTGTACTCACTTTCACTTTAAACTACAGGCACTGAAGAGCATGTGTCGCTAACACAGGTCTATGTGCATCTGCATTAATGACCACTCTTCAACATTGCAGATTAAAATGCTATTCATGACTAAATCTCTTTTTTTTTGTTGAACTTGTATTGCTGATATTTTTTTCTGTTTACAGTTTCTATCTACCTTCTATAGTTTTTGCAAAAAACACAAAAAGTTAAAAATTATCATTAAAGAGAAAGAACTCCAATAAAGAGTCGACCGACGATTTCGCCCATTTGACTCATTTATAGATCCTTTCTTGTTGATATTTTGCTATTTAAAGTGTCCATCTATCTATTATAGTTTTCAAGATATTAAGCAAAAACACTAAACATGGGTTAACATCGTCATTAAAGAGCAATAACTCTAAAAGCAGTCATCAGACGATTATGGTTATTTGACTTATTTGAATATCTTATCTTGTTGATCATTTTTGATATTTAAAGTGTCTAACTATCTATCTATTATGGTTTTCAAGATAATAGGCAAAAAAAACCCCAACTAAAATGGATATAAACTGTCATTAAAGAGTGAACTCCAATAAGGAGTCGTCCGACAATTTCGGCCTTTTAAGTTATTTGTAGATCTTGTCTTGCTGATCAACTTTAGTATTTCAAGTTTCTCTCTATCGATTATAGGTTACAAAATAATAGGCAAACATGAAAAAAGGGTAAAATTCGCCAATAAAGGGCAATTTCACCTATAAAAATACGGTTTTAATATAATGAACAATAGGTAGATATCAACATTTTGAACATTTTTGCCCTGTAAGATTTATAGCGGTTTTCAAGATTAAAGACAAAACTTGCATTTTATCCCATATTCTATTTTTAAGTATGTTTGCCGTGCTGTTTGGCAAGCGTGGTCAGCGGACACATCTTTGAAACAAGATACCCCAATGATAATTGTGGCACAGTTTGGAATTATTTGGCTCAGTAGTTTCAGAAGTGAACCTTTTCTAAAACTTAACGGACGACAACAGACGACGGAGGCCAAGTGATTAGAAAAGCTCACATTTGTGAAATAATGACATAGCTGCATGGCAGCTTCTAAATGCTGAATAAGCCACGAACTTATATAAATAAATCGAATCCTCAGAAATTTTACATTTTATTTTTCATAATTATGGGAAATCCGTAAAAAATCAAACTGACCAGAACATGATAATATTAAGCGCCAACTATAATTGTAATGAAGATCCTATGAAAATTGATTGAGATCCATTAATTATCTTTAATGTAAGCATTTGTGCGAGTTTGGTTAACGTTGAAAACCCTCCAGAGGTTTCGGAATTCTTTACGTATTAAAAGTGTGACGTCGATATCATAGAACTCTTGACGACGGCTACAGTACATGTAACTGTTACTTCAAACACAAACATTGGTAAAGGAAAAATGAACGATTTTATTTGAAATATTTTATTTTTTTTCCATCCGGATCATATCATGACAATATTCTTTATCATCTCACTCGTTAATAGGGTCTGAGCTCGCTAGCTAGGTTATAACATGTTTTCTTTCTCTAGATTATAAATGACTGACAAGGTTAAGCTTTTCTGGAGGGATATAAAATGTTCTCTTCCTTTAGCATCTCGATGGCTGACAAGGGTTAAGCTTTTCATGATGAAATAGATTATTTCGTTCTTTTTTTCGGTATCATAAGAAAAATATGTTTAAACTAGAATAAAGTGTGACGAGCAGATAAAGCCATGTTCAATATTTTCTTTTTACTTAACTCTAACACTTAAATTCAAATCCATGATTTGGAATAAACCTTCTAAACATTTCGAAAATAAGAATACCCTTTCCTCACTCACAAACATACACTCACATAAAACATTACCCCTCAAAAAACCTACAGATATTTGGCTTTACGTTTATGAGACAAATGTTTTCTATTATTAATTGATTAATTTATATTTTGCATTGTAAATTATCACCTTGAATTGAATTTCAATTTTGTGTCAATAATCACAGTTTTTGGTAGGGTTCGTGTTGCATATTCTTTAGTTTTCTATGTTGTGTCATCTGTACTCTTATTTGTCTGTTTGCCTTTTTTTTGTTTGCCATTGCGTTGTCAGTTTGTTTTCGATCTATGAGTTTGACTGTCCCTCTGGTATCTTTCGTCCCTCTTTTAAAACAAAACATGTATGTATAATCACGTTTCACTGAGCTATTTTAAACATAAACACTATATGTTATGTTTAGATTTATAATACAAAATCATAAATACATGTCTCGTATGCCAATATAAATTTATCAAGAATGCACGCGTTGTCATGCTAAGCTTGACCACCTTGTAAATGCTAGTACCAGAAAACAGGAAGAAGGTGTCTGACAGATCCAAAAGGGTCAACTCGTTACAATTCATCACTGTTGTGTTGCTGAATTAATATGAAGTGATTATGTTCAGTCGTATTGTCGAAATATGTGACGAAAACTTTATGTTCATACAACATATTGGAAATTGAAAGTATCAGCAAACAGAAAGTAAATATCTGACGGATCCTTTAAAAGTTATCACACATTACAACTTATCACTGTCAAGCTGCTGATCAATAATTTTTAAAAGTTTCTGAGGAAAATGTGACGAAAATATTTGTTGTACGAACGAAAGGACAATGTGAGTGCAAAAGAGCTCACACTCCTATTATGGATATACTATATCAATTTATCTTAACAAATTAAACAAACACACACACACACACACATACAAAGAGAGCCAAATATTAGTTACGCATACCTGATGGTCTACTTATAGGTCCGATACCGAAAGCATTGGCGGCTCTTACTCTGAATTTATAAGGAACTCCAGGATTAAGTCCAGTCAATTGATAAAGTCTTTTGCTGTTATCTTCTATCGGAATGATTACATTAGCTTCCGGTAGATCTTAAATACATGCATATTTTCAACTTTAAGCCTATGACAGACATTTATAAATTAATTTGGCGGTACGTGTCTTTATGTGTTAATAAAAGCAGTAAATTTGAAAATGTCTACACTCACATTGATGGTTTTGTATCTATATATTTGTCGGATAATCATTTTATATTTATATATTAACAGGGTGTGCTCCTTTCACAAAAGCTGCCAACAGAGTTATGAAGAAGAACGACTGAAATCGACACTACATAAGTTTCATGGTCACCGTTAGGAATGTGTTGACCGATACGATGTGTCGGTGTCTCATCTCACTGGCAACACATTTTCACGGTCTTAGATCTTTAAAAAATAAAGGCAACAGTAGTATACCGCTGTTCGAAACTCATAAATCGATAGAGATAAAAACAAATCCAGGTTACAAACTAAAACTGAGGGAAACGCATCAAATATAAGAGGAGAACAACGACACAACAAAAACACAACATTAAAATGTAACACACACAGAAACGAACTATAATATAACAATGGCCATTTTCCTGACTTGGTACAGGACATTTTAAGAAAAAAATGGTGGGTTGAACCTGGTTTTGTGGCATGCCAAACCTCCCGCTTTAATGGCAACGTCAAACACAACACCAAAATGACAACATCACATGACTAGACCACAATACAAATAAATGGGAGAACCTATAGGACAAAGAAACACACGAATAATAGCTAACAAAAGGTACTAGGCTTAAAATTCAATACGCCAGACGTGCGTCTCGTCCACACAAGACCATCCAGTGACGCTCAGATGAAAAAAGCTTGAAAGCCAAAACAAGTACAAAGCCGAAGAGCACCGAGGACCAAAACTTCCAAAGATTGCGCCTAACACGGCCAGGGTTTTCTGCCTGGGACAAGAACATCCTTATTTTTAAGAATAATTTATAATTTTGCAAATAAAAACCAGTATAGTCGTCTGATCTGCAATTTTACCGATAATGTCATATTCCCGATTCTGACATTTTGAGTGATTGTAAATTCGTATGGCGGGTGATACATACATAGCAGGAGACACTTTCAACGATCTCGCTCCTTTTAGAATTCATACAATTCCCTCAGTTTTTGTTTGTTACCTTCATTTGTCTCTTCCTAATTTATTTGTTAAATTTGAACATCGGTAAACTACTGTCGCCTTAATATATCACAAATCCTTATCTATACATTGAAATAATTTTTATCATGCGATTATCTTGCTTTTGCATTTTAAAAATGGCAAATAATGCAGGCAAACAGAATATTACAACGATCTCAATACCTATTTTAATTTTTGGTTTTATAATGAAGGTAAATCCAGAAAAGCGCTTCGGTCACATGATATTTACAAAGTGTTATTTTCAGATGCATTAACAATATCATTGTATTATATATCTTAAGGTAGATAGGGTGTCTTCCTCCATCTTGGATTTTGAAATACCAGAAAACAATCGGACTAGATCTATAATAAAAGGTGCAAATTTTGAGAGTAGTAGGTAATTCATGTGTAAGAATTTTCATTTCAATATAGAAAATGACATATTTTATCATATTTATGGTTGTATTTTACAAAAAAACAGAATACTTTTGTTTGATTCTATATTTTCCAACTTTGCCACATAAGGGGAGGCAACTCAAATGTAAGGGCAGATAATTCACATAAAGTTACTTTTACTATAGAATGTGTTAGGAATTTACCTATTTTATTATGTAGCAAGAAAACGGGTCCGGTGACCCCATTTTTTCTTTTTCTTATCTGAAATCATACTTTTAGAGCTATCTTCTCATATTTTATCTCAAAATTCTATGGTGTAGTTTTCATTTTATGGCAGAAAATTGGGTTTTCCATGCATAATCTATATAAAATCTGTCAATTTTGCACAACCTGTAGCGTGAAAACAAGGCCCGTGACCCATTCTTTTTATTATTCTTTTTAAAAAAGCATGGTATAAACTACATTTTGGCAAATTATTAAAAAATTCTATGGATTATAATTTAGACACCCCATCTACCTTAATTACATCTTGAAATTCTTCTTTTTGAAATTTGGACATTCTGAAATAAAGAAAAAAAAAATTGAAGTGCTTACTTGGTATAAAAACTGTCCAGTTTGTATAAGGTTCGTTAGCATTCTCAACTACATAATATAATACTGGATTTTGATATCGATATCCTAGAACCCAACCAAGGCGTGCAGAAGTTGCTGTTATTGTACCAGTTTCCACATACACGTATGCAATTTCTCCAGGTGGACCTAAAATACGTACAGAGTAATAATTCTTTGCATTTATTTTTGACATTTTTGACATTTTTTTCTATTTTTTTGTATCAAACAACATTAGTCTCTAGTAACTATCTGCTCATAACAAAAAAGAGCATTTTACCGTTAATCCTTACAGGAAAATTTTCCTTGTTTAATAGATACACTTCTTTCTATACAAATTATGTTCATTTGATCACACATAATTGGAAGATACTTAGAACAACAAGAGAGGCGAAATATACCAAAGGGATTAAAGACATACAATATAAAATAAGCAGCTGCGCCAAGAGTGTTATGATACGGCTCTTATTGTGCAAACTGAAATTGGTGCAAAATAAAATGGGATATTAAGAAGTCATATAATTTGAAGCAAATAAAACGGCAAATGAAAAACCATGCATACCATTGAAGTATAATATGACTGTTAAAAGTCCGATAACTCTGATTGACAAACAAGAAAAAAATCAACACTTAAGAGTAAGTAAGGCTTTCCAACACAGGTTATCTGGTGATATAAATGCAAAAGGTAAAAACGGAACTAGGTATCAAACAGCAATTTTCTAAATGGAACCGCCAAACAAATGTAAGTCATCATTTCCTGACCTTAGTTTAGATGCATTATATGCATAACTATACCCTAAAACATGAATTATAAGAGTGAATCATTCAATCCATGCATGTACCGAAGCATCTACAATTGGACATATCGTATCATATCAGCGGTACTAATCAATGGTATTATAAACAATAAGTGCGCAAAACAGGGTATTCTCATAATAAGTTATTACAGTCTGCAGCTATTTGCTCTCGCCTTAGTCAAAAGAGGTATGGATCAAAATGGAGTTCATTTGAGCAACGCTGTGAAGTTATTATTTTTTTGAATTTATGCCAGATTTTGTTTTAATGGTGCAGCTTATTAACCAGTTAACTGTCTTAACCTGAGGTTATTCTTATCTAAATTTAAATACACAAAAGGTTCTCACCGATGACAGTCAATGTTGTGCCTGCTTTGTCTGTGTCCATTGGAGTTTTAGCTACACATTCATAGTATCCAGCATGCTTGTGTTGTGCCATTCTTACAAACAAACCTGACAGCATATATGATGTGCCCTGTTAAAATTTAACAATTTAAGATATACATAATAATCTTCGGGTGCTTTAACTTGAAATATATGTGTGGACTTGTGCAATCAAACTAGTATGAAAAGAAGGATAATGGGACTAAGTGACAACTACTCCGAACTCATACTTATACAAACACATTAGAAAAATAGCTAGTTATATTGATTTCAGACCTGAAACACAATTTCTTAAAAAATGAAAAATCCGCCGATTTTGGCAATATTTCAACAACCAGATAAATAAACAATTCTTTTCTTCCATTAGATAAGTACCGATTATCAGGTTGTCTGCATATTGATATTGTAAAATATCAGCTGCGAGTCACAATATGAAGCTTTTTGTTAAAAAAAGGCTTAATATTATGTCGAGAAGCTGATATTTTACAATATGAATATGATAAAAATCTGATAATCAATTTATCGGATTGTATTTGTGTATTTTGCATGACAGAAATGAGGGTTTTTCTTTGCTTCACCAGCAAATCAGAAGATGACTTGATATGTTTGGGTCAAACTTATCAACGTCGGTTCATTTATTATGACGTCGATGATATGTCCGGATCAAAGTTATTTAGGCCGGGTTAACGTATTTGACGTCACAAAGCAATTTTATGAAGAGCTGAGCAGAGTGATATAGACAATGGGAACAACGATAAAGTATGGTAGTGTATGTTTGAATAGAATAAAAAGAAATATTGTGCACTTTTTAGGCCTGACTATACATCTTAAACTAAACTAAAAAATACAACAAAGAAGGATTTGAACCTTGCAATACAACATTTCCTTTCTTGGACAGCGGCGTTCCTCTTGCTATATCCTATATCGTGTACATTTCACACAAATGTTAAGATTTGCTAGAATATGAAACTGACTTTACTGAACAATTCTAAATATGTACTGGTCTCTCAAAAATATGAATTCAATTACATTTTATAACATATCATGAAACCTGGTAGGAGTACTAGTTCGGATTTTTTCCCATTTAGCGGCAGTATTCAACAGCTGTAACTTATTTAGCTAGCTCCATGTAATAGCGAGCATATTTTGGTCGCGCTTTCGAAATGATGTGATTTTTTTACGAAATTTCGGTTTACCATTCAACTGTTTTGATTCGAGCACCATTAATGAGTCGTATGTAGTATGAAACGCTCGTCTGGCGTACCAAATTATACACTTGATATATTTGATTAGTATTTACATCCACTGGGTCGATGCCACTGCTGCATGACGTTTCGTATATACCTACAACTCCCTTATCAGTTACAGTTTTAAATATAAAATAAGCACATGCTTCAAGCTTGTACACACACAAAAAGGAAATAGATGTTTAACTAGTCATGGTAATTTTATGTAAAATGTATCTCCAGTACTACATACTAATGTAAAGTGAATGTCGTTATCGACATCAATTTGATGCCCATTAAAATTCCAACCATAAACAAGATCTATATTTTGTTCAACTGTTGCCTGACATCTGATAAAAGCAGTTTCATTTAGAGAAGCTGTTACAGGTTGAGGCCTTACACTAATCACTGTTCTGCCTGCATAAGAAAGAAAACAAAATCTCAAAAGGTGATAAGCATTTATTTAATTAAAATATTACACCAATCGGAATAAGAAGACACTGTTTATGGTCAATACATCGCAACATATTTTTCAAAAGCAGTAATTGTATAGACCTAAAATGAAACAAATTGCAAAAAAGTTATAATGATATTTTATTCTTCGTCGTTGGATATCTTTCAATATAAGTATACACATATCATATATGTGCCTTAATGAGTGACAAATGTGCCTATATATATATATATGCATTTGAAAGATCCAAATACCAATAACTATTCAGAAACAATGTAGATTTTTTGGATCAAGATCTGCTAACCCTTTCAGAGCACCTGATATCACCCCTTGAATTTTGTGGGGTTAGCGTTGCTGAGATTTTAGTCTTCTCTGTACTGTTTTGAGGACTTGTTTGTCTTATAGCCACTTTTCTAATTTTTTTTTTAGAAATGGCGTTGACACCTTCTCTTCGACTTATGAGTTTGGAATGTCACCTTAGATCTTCCGTCTCTTTTTTTGTAAAGTTAATAATAATGATATACCAAAATCAAAGATTTTCTTTAAAAATGGACTTACTTGTGATTACCAACTGTCCTGCGTTGCTGGCTATTCCAAAACTATTTTCAACTACGCATGTATAGTAACCTGCATCAAGAGTGTTTATTTCAGTTATCAACAGGTTTCCATTAGTTAGCATCATTATCCTGGAGGATGTGTCTCCCGGAACTAAATTTATTTCAGCACCATTTTTCAACCACTTGAATATTGGAAACGGAGCTGCCTCGGGTTGACATGTAAATGAAGCATTGCCGCCGAGAGCACCATACACCACTTCTTCTACTGGGCGTTTTATAAAAGTGGGTTTAAAACCTGTGGTTAGTAGAAATATTCATTTTGTACTCAAAAGAGTAAATCCTCGAAATCTATTATGTATCTCAGATGAAGTACTTAAAATGTCTAATTATAAACTATGTATTTGAACTTTACATCAAATTTCTACTGAGTACCTTTACAAAAATCAACAAAAATGAAAATTGGTAAAGATAACAACAATTACAATCATTGTCCTGAATTCTGTTTTGACAATTTTGAAATTTTGACATTAAAATGATTTTAAATCTTGTAAGCTAGAAATAGACAGAAAATGAAAAGAAAAAAGTCGTATCTCAAAAATAAGAATTATAAAATTCTATAGAAAGTCTTAAAGAGGGATTTTTATTACCTAGAACACGTAATTGTCCTTCTGTGTGACTTATTCCGTGTTTATTTTCTGCTCCACATTGATACATTCCATTATGACGGGCAGGATCAGCATTGTGAATAACAAGAACATTATTACTAACAGTTATATCCCCTTCAATTGTATGCAGTCTGACGCCATTTTTCAACCAGAAGTATGTTGGAGCAGGTATTCCACGTGCAGCACAGTGCCATGTTAGTTGGCTTCCTTGATCGATGTGCTGGTCTTTGAGTGAAAACAGGAAAAACGGTTCCGCTACAAATTGAAAACAAGATAGTTTAATTTTGAATTGCGCTATTAAATGTACTACATGCATCGACATACTGTACAGTAATGCGTATTCATTCGGCTACATGTATGATGATGATAAATTGACAATTTTAGTGACCGCTGCCACAACTTAGCAAAAACACGTTATAGTTTTTTCACGAGAATTGCAAAAAGTAGAAAGAACCCCACAGCTTTTTAAAATTTCCTTAAAATTGGAACACGGATTTATTATTTCACAGAACACCTTGAAAGATCTGCGCTCCATAACCAGTAAAATATATGATTGTATCATGATAATAATCATTAAAACAATCGATTAAAAACAGAGGAGAATAAAGTTAAAGATGGAATTAATCATGTAAATCTAAACACATTACCACCCAAATGTAACAAACATTCTACATGAAAAAGCCAATTGATATGGTAAAATGACAACAACACTTTAAAAATTTCATGCTTCCGGAGAACTTTTTTGTATTTATCTTCATAAGGAACGCTCAAAGTCGAATATTTAAAATCCAAGGATGTATAAGAACCGTAACAGCTGAAACGCTATATGATCAAAAAGGAGCTAAAAATCCTTTCAAGGTTAACTTTGTCTGCAGGAGTTGAAACCGTAGTTTCTTGAGTATTTATAAATTTATCAACGATCAATTAAAGAAAGGTTCGTTAAAAGTTATGTCAAGAACGAAGTACTGGCTACTGAGCTGATGATGCCCCCGCAGACTGATAGCCCAACCCAGTGCTATAAAAAACAGAACACTACTTTATAAATGTCATTCGTCCGACGCAGTTTTCTGGATTTACCTTCATCAGAACGCTCAAAGCCGAATATTTGAAAGCCAATGATATATATGAACCGAAACAGTTGAATAACGTGAAACATATACTTTCGGCTGAATAGCAAGAGATATTGAATTATACGACATTAAGCTACTACAAATAAAAATATTAATAGGTTACAATAAACCCTTTACAAGCTGTAACACATTCACCTAGTTTCCTGCTCAAACTTTTCACTTTTCGACAAGTCTAAAAATGAAAGTTACTAATTGTTCTATTCACCTTCTACAGAGAGATAAAAATGCTTGAAATCACCATGTACATTTTGCCTTGTCACGTGACATGTATAATTTCCGCTATCCTCTACCTTAGCTGTTGGTATAACTAACACCCTGTTGTGATCCTCCATGTAGGCGTCTGGTGGCATGGGTAGCCCATTGCGTGTCCAGTAATAGGATATCGGCATTCTTGGGAAGAAAATTTATAGTAGAGAGAGTTATAATGGTTAGCTCTTGAAGAAGATAAAATGCCATTGTGAAGGTTTAAAGATATTCCACAGTGAAATATCTATCAATTTTTAATCAAAATAATCTATTAACAATTGTATTCATAACAAGAATTAGTTTAAAACTACTGCAACAAAAACCGTGTGTTTTTTCTTATATAGACCCCATCTGGTTGAACGTCACGGTGCATCTTTATCACACATGACTTCGGATATGTTGCATTTTTCGTAGCCACAGTTGCGTATTCGAGCATGGCTTACATATTTCCGATGTTTACATATCCTGAATAAAACGACCGGACCGAAACTGCTTACATTTTGAGAACATCTGATTACACTAATTGTTTTAGTGAGTTTCATGTTGCTCATTCTGTAAAATTTATCTATGAAACGTTTTGTGAATTATTTTTGTCTTTTCTACTTATTTTCTTCAGGTAATGGTGCTGCTTATTCTGTTTGACTTATGATATTTGATTGTCTCTTTGCTATTTTGTTTTTTTTATGTAAGGACATTATCCACAATTATAATCTATGTAAAACTAAAAATATAGCTTGTATTGTTCCCATCTTTAAAAAGTGACATGGTTACCTACTTTTTGACATCAAAATTTTAATTTATAGAGATTTAAAATGTCTGTTTGGCAATTAAAGCAAAATCTTTAAATCTAAGTACATTATTATATTAATGGCAGTTCATACATACGATCCATACGCTAAACACTCCAGATGAACATTCTGTCCACGCTTCGGAGTAGTTGGGAACACTGCTGGAAAATCGTTAGCAATTTCTGGTCCCCAAATAGATGCAGCTAAAAGTAAAATAAAAATGAATTCAGGTTGTTTGATTGCCAATGAGACAACTATCCAAAAAGATCAAAGAACAAAGATGTAAACATTTAAATACTTTATATAACGCGAACCCACTACTGTTTGTGTAAAAGGCAACGGGATGACAAATCTGAAACAAACAGAAGAGAAACCAACGGTCTGATTAATACTACAACATAAAACGAAATGCACTTGGCAGAAAGGCAACAAACGACAACCTCTGGATTAGGGAATGGTCATTATTAATCAGCTGAGGGGGTCGGTTCAAATTTTTCACATTAAAAGGTTTTGTTGGCAACCCCCCCCATGATTCTTATGAACCACATAATGACCCCCCCTGAGAACACAGTTTCAAAAGTTTGACCCCCCACAGCCAAACAAAAATCTCTATCGATTAACAGTTGGGAGAAGATGATGACTGCAAGCTACATGTACAATGTAAAAAGTTGCAGGCATTGACTTGAAAAATAACTATGAGAAGTATGTGGACATTGACACTATCCGTAACAGAATACGGCATAAAGGGGTTTTCCTTGATTGCAGTACTCATTTTCTTTGATTTTGAACTGATATTTCATAATACATTCTACACTATAGTTTTGTTATTTTATATAACATGTATAAGTAGCTTAAACTAATTAATTTGATAAAGATAATTTACTTTGTCTGGTTAGCAGTCATTAGTAAGTGATATTCTGTAAATATTATATTGCCTTAGTTGATGTTTCATCATGACCTTCCATATTCTTTATTTTGAAGCTGATGCAACTGATTTTAGAAAACATTTTTCAGTTGTATTCTTCTTTGAGAAAAACCTGAGTATACAATAGAGTTTTTTCTTCTTGTTTTTATCTTTCTTTCGAATATGAATAGCTGACACATGCAAGAAAAAAATGGACAAAATAAGCATTTAAATGAAAACAAATATATATTGCTTTTTACTTGAACCTTTATGAACAGAATGAAGTCATACCTTAATACAGATTGTCCCTGATTTTGAAACTGCTAATTCTTAAAAAGTTAAGCTTTTAAAGGCACAATTAGCCAAATTTGTTTATATACATGAGCATGTGCTATTATAAATGAATGGAATGACGTAAAAAGAAAAAAAAACAGAAAATTCTTTGTTCCAATTTATTTGAATGCAACCTATAATTCTACAATATTATATATAACCTTTCAATAATGAATTTCCCTCTGTTATGAATAAATGTAAATTTACTGTCTGACACAGAATTATTTGTGAATGAAAAAACATTAAAAAAAAAAGAGAAAACATGGCTCAATTCTTTTAATGTCTTTATTAAAATTTTGAAGTTTTGTAAATGTTTCTTGGATTTTAATTTTCTCATCATATAGTTATTTTTTTATTTCAATCCCACTCTTGGAAGTGCAACTGAAAATAACACATTACAAATATTACTAATTGTATGGTTCTAGTCCTTCCTGGATCAAAAATGTACATGATTTATTTGAGATAAAGAAATATTTTTGTAGGTTAATAACTATATGAACATTCAATATTTTATTTCAATGTGAAAATGTTTTACGAAATCCGATGTGTATTGTTTTGTGTGTGTGAATGCCATGCTGCCCAACAAGGACCCTCGATTTGAACATTAAAAATTCTTTTTATTATTCGATATCTTTGAAATAATTTCATAAAATAATTATACATATTTACAAATGGTTTTAGAATATACACACCTATATCTATCCTAAGAAATCGCATCAAAATGATTTGAACACTTCAGAAAGTTGTAATACACATGTTCAGACACTTTTAAAACTCATTGTTTCCTGTGGTCAAAACTACAGACAAATGTTTTATACAGTTGTTAATCTTGAGATAAGTCGGATTGTAAACTTTCACATCCTACTTGTCCTATGGATAATCATGGAACTATTATATTGAATATAATAGTTTCATGGGACAATGAACCATAACAAATGACTGTGATAAGGAGTGATCAGATTCACTATCCTTAAGAAATTAGGCATCCTTCTAGTGCTCACTGTACATGACCAAAGATTTAATAATGACAGAAATTATTCAAAAGATTGCACACTCACTTCAATATCGTCAACAATTTATATGCTTGTCAGACATAAAAACTTCCATTGTGTGACCCCCCCAGTCAAATAAAATTTTTGATGGCAACCCCCCCAGCTGTATGATATTTTTGGTAGTGACCCCCCCTAAAATGAACCGACCCCCTCAGCTGATAAATAATGACTGTTCCCTTAAAGGATTATGGATTAGGACATGCGCATATTAATAATGCGCAGTTAAACATGTTTGTTTCCAAATATGTCAAAATCCCTTCCTACTGAGTTTTATAGTGTGTTTTTATGTTGTGTTGTTACACCACTATCCCAATGTACCTGTCCACTTTGGGAGCCTTTAAATTAGTGGTTGTCGTTTGTTGTTGTCTGTCATTTTTATCTATCATTAGTTATTTATCGTTAATTGTTTTGTCATAAATCATTGCATTCATACCACATCTCCTTATTTATATATTGAAATGTGTCTATACGTCAATGAGACCACGAACTAACGAGACAAATAACCAAAAGATATTCGCACGAATGAAAAAAAAACTTTAGAAATGCCAGGAATGTTCTCGAGAGGATATACTAGACATTTCGACTATATAGCCTTATTAGCGGAATAAGAAAATATTGAAACACTAAAAATTACGAAACCTTTATTGTCAATAAAGTCCAAATGATTCTTAAAATGAAAAAGACATGTCTAACTCATATTATTTTGCATCGGAAACTATTAATTTCTATTTGTGAAATACTTTTACCAAGTACCAAGTCAGGAATATAACAGTTGCTTTCCATTCGTTTGATGTGTTTGAGCTTTTGGTTTTGCCATTTGATAAAGGACTTTCCGTTTTGGATTTTCCTTGGGGTTCGGTACTTTTGTTATTTTACTTTTTAATTGATTCCTAAAGTGCCAATATACCTGCATTAAGAATCCGAAGCTGTATTGGCAGACTTATCCTGCTTGGAGGCTGATTTGTTCCAATGGCCGCTCCGTTATTAGATGACAGTTTAACAATGCATCGGTAATTTCCGGCGTCGTTGGTAGACACAACAGAAAAATACAATTTACCATTCCTTGAAATAAACATATACGCATGAAGATCTGGACGTATAAAATGGTAATTCCCCTTGTACCACTGGTAAATAACGGCTGGAAAATAAAATAGTTAAGATCCTTGTAAATGCATGACGTTTTTCATATTGAATTTCTTATTATCCCGTGACTTCCATATCAAATGAAAGACTCTGTCCAAATTCCAATATATGGGTCGGTGAATCATATCAGAGTCGAGATGGAGAACGAAAGGAAATGTCAATTTATTCTATTCTTTTCCATTGTTGGTGATGGGGATCTATAACAAATCCTATATCGGGCCTCATATTAGACATGAGGCTGATAAAAAGTTTAATCTAAAAGTTGCATATATGTTACCGTTTATTAAATCTCATATTCAATATATCTGGTGCACATGAGTTCCACTAGCCATCGCGAAGAAAACAATATATATTTGATTTAAATAATTTACTCACCTTTTTGCTTTCAAATTTCTCCCATGAGAGAGATTTGCTGTAATATGTCTTGTCTTTTTTTAAAGAATTTCGTATTATGATTTTTTTCATAAATAGATAAATATCTCATAGGTCTTATGATGAACGTTAAATTATAGACAGAAGTATAAGAAAATTGAGAAGAAGCAAAACATTTCGTCTTAGAAAATTCTTTGATATCATGCATACGCAATTGTTATACGCCCTGTCTTTATGTTAGAAATCTCATTGAAGACTGCATTGACCCATTTTCTGTGTAGGAAGAAAGATAACTTTTCAACTTATATTATAATTAACTTTTCAAGTTATATGATAATTCATTTTTCAAGTCATATTCTAATTCACTTATCAAGTTATATTCTATTCTTTTTTCAAGTATAAGGTATATTATCAAGTCGCTTGTGCGTGTTTCTCAATAAAAGGACAAATTTCTTTTTAATTTTCCGATTTTCCTTTTTTTATGGAATATGATTCATTCGGTCAAATATGTGTAAGCAAAGTGACAAACCTGGTCTATAGTTAGGAGCTGTACAGTCTATCGCTGCTCTGTCATCATTATAGGCATTTACTGGTGATGGCTCAACATTACTGAACTCTGACAAAACTATTTGATAGAAAAGAAGCTAATTCTATCTCAGCAGTGGTAGATAGTAATTAAATTGCTATTTTAAAACAGGAACAATTACATATCATATCAATTACATAAAACATTTTGTTGATAATTAATTTAAAAGTGTACTGTTTCACCAAGCAGGACATCAATAGACGAGAAAGTACATTTTGTTTTTACGCCTTTATTTATATGATAAAATGGCTGCTTGCAAAAAACAGCAAAGATGGAAAACAATAACATGGAATCTAGGGATAAATGTGAAAACAATGCAAGAGATGTAGTATGTAGATGTATCTTTATATGTGAAATCTTACATCCGAAGGACAGCACCATTGGATTTGAGACTACAAGACCAAACTCGTTTTGTGCAATGCAGAAATAAGTCCCTGAATCCAAAGCTTCGTTAGGGCTCTGAATAGTCAACTTCCCATTAGTGACAGTGTATCGAGAATCAACTAGTGTAGTCATGTCTGTAACATTGCCTTCAACATCTGTTTGAATGATTTTGTAATTTGGTTGAGGTATCCCAGTGGCTATATATTCTATTTCAGCAATCAATGTACGATCAGTTCGAACAACAACTACACTTTGTTGATGGAGAACGAACTTTGGACCTTTAGGTGCAAACGCTGGATCAGAGAAATTTGACCCAAAATCTGCAAAAAAATATTTAATAATCGTTATATTTTCACAGATATCTACATTTTATTAAACTGACTTTTTTTTTTAACTTGTTTGCTAATAAGACTCTTTTGAGTTATATAACTTATCATTAACTGATATTTTCTATCAACTATTTTAGCTTAAAGTACCTAATAAGCTAATTATAAAATATTATTCCTTCGCCTGTGATTTTGACAGCTTCGTATCAATTATTATTATTTTAAAAAGTCAGCAAATGAAAGAAAATAAATTTGTTTACTTATGTGTTGATGTATAATCGGGTATCAAATTAGCTTACCAAAATCTCTGTCTTCTTTGACTATTTTGTAGGCTTCAGTCTGGCTGATTTCGCATATATACGGCAAAGATATTAAGGAATACTCTCTACTCCAAAGATATTCATACACTAAAAAAGAGGACATATTACGATTATGCTTAGAAATGTTGCAAGAGTATAAAGTTTTTGACATGGTGAATTTTTTGTTTTCTCTTCAATTTGCCGACAAAAAATAGAAGTTATTATGAAAGCCCATTCAAACTGATTATGATGTTGTGTTGTTACACCACTATCCCCGTTTGGGTGTTTTGGTGTCGGGGTGTGGGGTATGAAGGCTCACAAATATGGCTACTCCCGCCATATTTTTTATGTACTTGTCCCTTTTAGCCATCAGGCCATTGTTACATATGAAATAGTTTGATATGAATTTTCTCCATTATTCCACCAAATTGTTTAATTGTTCTATTTACACTCTTCAAAGTGTTCTCTTGTGTTTTGTTCTGTCATTTAGAAGAACTTGAACTAATAAAACTCGCTATACTGCTACGGTTTGGAAAAATAAAAAGAAACAGAATCCCATAACCTGATTCAATATACTTATATTAATATTTTTTTTAAAGTTTTTATATAGCTTTAAGAGTTTTATTTATTTAAAAGTATTTTTTAACATCAAATGCAATTTCCAACCATTAAATTTTATACAAAGTTTTTAAGGAAACTATTTTGATGAATATTTTGATAATGACATTTCATTTTATCATTGAAATCAGAATTTATATCACCACCATAAGGATAAGCGATATGATTAGTTAAATAACATTTTACCGCCATAAGCATAGACGGTGTGATCACCGTTGATGAATCAGCACTTTCAGCCATAAGTATAAACCATATTATCACGGAAATCAGCACTTACCGCCATAAGTATAGACGATATGATCACCAGACTTATCTTTGTGTTCATTGTTTAACCAAAACTGTAAACCAGGTTCAATATCGGTACCATCACCCTCCCATCTCATTTTTAGTGTTTCTTCGTCAATAATACCACTAGAGTACCAAGTGTTTCTACAAAATGTATCAATAACGTTGCTAATGTAATGCATATTTCTAAAATGCAGTGCTGCTGTAACAACTACTCATACAATGTACCAATCAAAGCCAAAAATGTGCCAAGTGTTTCTTGAATGTATCGTAATGCTAATTCAGCAAGTATTTCTTAAATGTATCATTTGCACTGCTGATGTGCCAACTGCTCCTACAATGTATCAGCTACACCGCTAATGTATCAATTATAAGTGTTTCTTGAATGTATCAAGGACATCTATAGTGTACCAAATGTTCTTAAAATTTAACAATAACGCCGCCAATGCAGCACGTGTTTCTAAAATATGTCAATAACATCTCTAGTGTACCGAATGTTCGTAAAACCCCACTAATGCAGCAAGTGTTTCTCAAATATATCAATAACATCTGTAGTGTACCAAATTGTCTTTAAATGTACCAATAACGCCGCTAAATGAGCAAGTGTTTCTAAAATGTATCAATAACACAAATGTATCAAGTAGCAAACTTCTAACTTAAGAAGAATCGCCAGACTTAAAATATAGATTGTATCTGCTGATAGCTTTTGACAAAGGGGAAACAATATAACATCTAGGTATAGAAAACATGCATATCATATGCATATTAAACCAGATATCCATTCTTCTCAGAACTATGTAAGCGAGACGTAAAAGAGCGTATCCACATTAAACGGTACAGCTGACATAGCATTTGAAACCATACTGCTTTTAAAAATTACTATTTTTCTGTAGACATTTTTGAAATATTTTCAAGTCTCTATTTCTGGATCTACTTTATTAATGATCTGTATGTTAACCTTATTTCTTAACTAAGAAAACATAAAAAATGAACAACAACAAAGATGAAGTAAATGCAAAAATATAGAACTCTAAAAAAAAGAAATGAAAAATACAACAAAATAGCATTAAATATAAAAAAAAAACCGAACGAATGAAAATAGGAGTCATCGATATATACTTACATGGCAGGGTCGTTTGCCATTAACCACTGACTCACAAACTGATGTTCAACTAATGTGTTAACACTTACTAAGGCAGCACCATCCATCTGTTAAAAGAACGCAACGATCCTTATGCAATACAAAAATCGGAATTAAACTAGAATCTATTGCAACAAGAAAAAACACACGCCAAACTTGTGTTCTTTTATATTCATTTCCCCCTTTTGTAAACTATCCCCATTATTTTTCATATGTTTTAGTATTTCATAAGTAGGAAAAGCTAAAATATAATAATGAGAATCTTTGCAGCTTTACGACTTTATTTTAGCAATACAAACCTCATAATTGGTATAACATGAAAAAGGATTATATTTACAAAATCTTAATTAATTGACCTAATACACATGCATCAGCCATTACTATGGCCATATATTTTGTAACATTTCAAATTTCTTCCTTTCTTTCAAGTTAAAATTTATCACTGAGCGGCAAAATTATCAAAATCTCAATCAACCTGAAGGCTGCCATAACGGAAACAGTAACAGTATTTTTGTACTAACCATGCAAGTCATTTTAGCTTGTGGATAATAGTTTGTTGGATAAAAGACAAAGTTGTAACAACTGCCTCCAAAAGTAACCCAGGGATCAGGGCAATCTGCAACAATTGTAAAGTAATTAAATATGTTATGACATTCTTTTATTTTTGTATGCTCATAGATTTGAATAAATAAATTTGCGTATTTGAAATTTATCCAATATCTTTTTACATTGAGTTTGAATGTCTTTGTTTTAAGATTTTCTTTCCTTCAAATTGGTGTTATGTTGGTTTTTTTTCAAAGGCATTCCTGAAATATCAAATATGTATCCATACTCTATGAAATATTTAGATCTGTACAAACTTTTGGCATAACGAAAGAAGAATCACACCTCAAATTGTGAAAAAAATGGTTTGGAATTCGAAATTTTGATGTTTGGATTCAACTTTCGTAGATATGTACTTACATCGATAAAATGTCAAATATATAAAGCCTTTGACTCGGCTATCCAGTAAAAATGTATAGTAAGTTCGTTTCGTGTAAATATGCACATGTGTGTGTAACAATCAGAATAACAATTTAAGTGGCAAACATTTGTAAGACGCCACAAGAAACATTACCATCCTTTACAATCTATTACCTCTCCTCACTTATCCCATTTAGTGTCAATATTTTTTCTTATAAAGACAATTTCCTGAGAGTTTCTCTTCCCTGGTCTCGTGTGGTGATCAGTAATATTAATGTGGATTGTTTGGATCTATGTTTAATTTTAAGGTGTAAACATTACATGCACATCTGTACGAGAACATGTTGATTTGATATGAATATGAATCCTCCTTTGTGCTTAACCGACTCATTGAGACGGATTTTGACGTAAATTCTTTTAACTCCTAGCCAAACAGGATTTGCTCGTATTCTTACATTTCGCGTGTTAAGAGGAGAAGAAACATCAGGAGGTTTCAAGTGTCAACTGAGGGGAAAGTATGGAACACAGTCATAGTTACTACGATATTTCTGAATTCGTTTTTTCATAACGATCCAACGCCCTTTGTAAGTCTGATCATATCCCAAGATCAGAATTTTTGGGTTTAATTTTCATGTAATGTTATAGTATTTTTTGTACAACTAAAATAAAATTTGACATGATTGAAACATAGCTTATCTCTATACTTACTATAGGTTTGCTCTTTTGTGAATGATATAAAACCATGAAGTAAAAAGACCTGTAAAAACCTGGAAAGAAGACACAAATTATCATTATAGTTTTATCGATTTTATGTAAACATAAAGGGAAAATACGACATCATTATGTTTTCGGGAGTGTTAAACAGCATTGACTACAGATTGAGATTCGCACATGATAGGCTTACACTTGAATTAAAAGAAATGGGCTATAAGGCTAACTGAGGACATTTTATGACATCTGCTTCCGATACCATTTTTTATATTACCACAGCTTGAACTGTTTCACATACTGTTAAACACAACTGAACATAGCATTTTTGACAACAACAAATTAACATTTTCCAAGTACGAAAATCTTTTTCGTTCAAAATGTATCGGTTTTCTGGCAAATGTCAAAAGGTGTGTAGTGTTTCTGCATTTAACAGTGAGTTTGTCAAACAAGAACAATTGGTATATTAGGCCGTGTTTTGTCCCCATTGCTTACCATTGGTTTTTCCATGTTTAAACACTCTGAATTTGAACCCCTCGTCATAACTATATCTTAATCATACGTCTTTTTTTTTTATTTCTATGTGTTATAACCTAATCTTGCATAGAAAAATATTGTAATTCAACTTTTCAAGTTACTAGTATTAAAAATATTACTAAGCTTAAAAATATATAGTTAAACAAGAATTGAAAAGCAAGACACTTTGCTTATCATACCAATCTATTATTTTTATACTATCACCAATGCAAAGTGTTGGCGGTAGGCGTCCATTTTAGTCATAAACACGAGGATGTCTAATCACAGTAAATATATAATCAATAAATGAAGAGAATATATTAAAACACCAAAAAAAGTCCCTTTACGTGTACATACCAATCCATTTTTTTTATACTATCACCAATGCAAAGTGTTGGCGGTAGGCGTCCATTTTAGTCATAAACACGAGGATGTCTAATCACAGTAAATATATAATCAATAAATGAAGAGAGTATATTAAAACACCAAAAACGTCCCATTACATGTACATACCAATGGGAGAACATTGTTTCCAATGAACAGATAATCTATGTCGCTTCCAGTTTCTATTAATGAATAATTAATTCAAATATTCCATGATTTCATCAGGAATACGGAAATATGCGTCATTTTTGTCATCCAGTTTTTACAACTGAATTGCAGTAATAAATTTGATCGAAGTATGGGAATTTTCATTTTTATTGCTACTTGTATTATTGGGAGATTTTATAATTGAGTAATATATAAGGTCGGTCATGATATTTTTAGATAACTAATGATTATTTTATTTCTTTATTTTAGCCAACATGTTGCACAAAACGCTGTTTTCGTTAATCTTCATTTTTATTATTGTAGACTAAGTTTTTACCCCTCCCCCCTTATTCTTAGTAATTGGATATAAAAAATGAAAATGGAAGTTGACTTAGACTACTTTCTAGATGATTAGACTATAAAAGATAATTTTTTTGTTTGGTTTTTTTTTTGTCACTTTCAGATGTTATTACGTATAATTGTATGGAGTGAATAGATACTGCTTTTATCTCCTTAGACAATATCTGCCAAAGTTTTGTGTTTAAAATTTGTATCTACTTCTTATTTCAAATGCTTAAAAAGTATTTATTTTTTATCTCGAAGATCTGTAATTATAAGAAATGAATAGTGTTTCTGGGTTTGAGTGTTGGGTGCGAAGCCCCTCGAAAGCTGACAGATTTTGATGTTTAGAAACTAACAGGACACGTTTTTACAACATGGAGAGTCTTGGCAATACAAGAAAGGCACCTGGAGAAATGTTTTGTATCTTTTCTTAAAACCACTTAGCTTCTTGCTCACCGTCAACCTTCCAAACCTTTTTATAATAGCCAAAGACATCGGATGGCAAGTGATGATAATACTGTTTACAAGTGTACCAGATAAACTAAAAATATCTCCATGTACCTAAAATATACTAACTGACAAATTTTTTTACTGCAATTTGTTTGTATCACAAGTTTTATTCGTAAATCCAAAATTCTAAGATAGGGTAAAGTTAATTTTGGTGTACATATTGAAGAACGGACACAAACAATTTACCCTTTTGGAAGACTTTTGCGTGGAATCATATCGTCCTACGTACGTCCGTGGACATATTTTCTTTTTTTTTCATTGCCACTATCAATCAATTATGATTGTCAAATAAACAATGATGCAGTAATTTGACATCCAGGTTTTTTTTTAAAGAAACCGTTTAGTTTTGATCGAAATGAGGTGGTGTGGTCGGATTGTCAATGAGATAACTATCTACCAAAGATAGAGGGCAAGGTTGTAAACAACCACAGGTCAACGGTTTGACCTTCACAATGTTCATGATAGTAAGCTATAGAAGGTTCAAAAGAAATATAAAGGCCTAATTCAGACTAAAATTTAGGCACCAGCCATTCACCATTTGTGGGAACATGTTTAAATACTATGACAATCGGATTATCTTAATATTATCATTACTTTAAAACAAAACAAATAATTACGACATTTTAACGCAGCAGCGTTCATTGTATATTACTGAATACTGCTTCTTAAACCAAATTACGACACTAAAATAAAACAACTTTTCACAACTAACATTGCTGTTCAAAAGGTTAGGCACTTGCCTCAATGAGCTATTTCCCTGGAATTTGTGCAGTGAATTTACCATGAACAAAACTTCCGATTCCAATGATGGAGTCTAGCACTAGTATATTACTTATCGAATTAAAGAACCTGAGTGAGCACGCTCACATACCCGACGCCCCCACATTGTCACTTGGCAAACATAATATATTAATCTCACCAGATTCCTAAGTTAAAGGACTCATAACTCCTACAAAAGTCATCTGATAACAATTTCTTGTGAATATGCACATCTACATATTATAATGTCCTTATTGTTTACAAAGTGTCATGAAATTCTGTTGCATGATTTCAGAGGAGTTGCGATGACAAAGGGTTGCAGTTGTATATTTAGGCCAAATTTGTACGTTCAAAGGTGCAAGTGTTTCTCGTTTTTCGTTTTCTATATAGATTAGACCGTTAGTTTTCCTGTTTGAATTGTTTTACACTAGTCATTTTGGGCTCCTTTATAGCTTGCTGTTCGGTGTGAGCCAAGGCTCCGTGTTGAAAGCCGTACTTTGACCTATAACTGTTTTACCCATTGTGACTTGGATGGAGAGTTGTCTCATTGGCACAAATACCACACTTCTTATTTATATCTTAAAGGTATTTTGTGTGACGCATTTGATTTGTCTTTCTATCAATATTATGATTGACAAAATTTCATTCTACTTCACGGTGTCTTTAAAAACTAATTTGCTCATTGTTGACTGTACGGTTGACAGTATTTGTTTGCATTCTTGTTCATTGTTGACTGTACGGTTGTCAGTAGTTGATTGTATTCTTGGTCATTGTTGACTGTACGGTTGTCAGTAGTTGTTTGTATTCTTGGTCATTGTTGACTGTACGGTTGTCAGTAGTTGTTTGTATTCTTGGTCATTGTTGACTGTACGGTTGTCAGTAGTTGTTTGCATTCTTGGTCATTATTGACTGTACGGTTGTCAGTAGTCGTTTGTATTATTGTTCATTGTTGACTGTAAGGTTGTCAGTAGTTGTTTGCATTCTTGGTCATTGTTAGCTGTACGGTTGGCAGTAGTTGTTTGTATTTTTGTTCATTGTTAACTGTACGGTTGTCAGTAATTGTTTGTATTCTTGGTCATTGTTGACTGACTGTACGGTTGTCAGTAGTCGTTTGTATTCTTATTCATTGTTGACTGTACGGTTGTCAGTAGTTGTTTGTATTCTTGGTCATTGTTGACTGTACGGTTGTCAGTAGTTGTTTGTATTATTGTTCATTGTTAACTGTACGGTTGTTAGTAGTTGTTTGCATTCTTGTTCATTGTTGATTGTACGGTTGTCAGAAGTTGTTTGTATTCTTGGTCATTGTTGACTGACTGTACGGTTGTTAGTAATTGTTTGCATTCTTGTTCATTGTTGACTGTACGGTTGTCAGTAGTCATTTGCATTCTTGTTCATTGTTAACTGTACGGTTGACAGTAGTCGTTTGGATTTTTGTTCATTGTTGATTGTACGGTTGTCAGTAGTCGTTTGCATTCTTGTTCATTGTTAGCTGTACGGTTGAAAGTAGTCGTTTGGATTTTTGTTCATTGTTGACTGTACGGTTGTCAGTAGTCGTTTGCATTCTTGTTCATTGTTAGCTGTACGGTTGACAGTAGTCGTTTGGATTTTTGTTCATTGTTGACTGTACGGTTGTCAGTAGTTGTTTTCATTCTTGTTCATTGTTGACTGTACGGTTGACAGTAGTCGTTTGGATTTTTGTTCATTGTTGACTGTACGGTTGTCAGTAGTTGTTTTCATTCTTGTTCATTGTTGACTGTACGGTTGCCAGTAGTTGTTTTCATTCTTGTTCATTGTTGACTGTACGGTTGTCAGTAGTTGTTTTCATTCTTGTTCATTGTTGACTGTACGGTTGTCAGTAGTTGTTTTCATTCTTGTTCATTGTTGACTGTACGGTTGTCAGTAGTTTTTTCATTCTTGTTCATTGTTGACTGTACGGTTGTCAGTAGTTGTTTGGATTCTTGTTCATTGGTCTTTAGTGGATACATGTATTTGTCTCATTGGCAATCAAACAAGATCTCCTTTTTAAAGACTCAACTAATAAAAAGCTATATGTTTATATAATAACAAGGTTTATTAAAAGAAGGTGCACTTAAAAGAATGATGTACAAGTTAAAATAATTAATCCATTTTTTTTTCAAACGATATCAGTAAAGACAGTAGTAGTCCAATTAAAAATGTAAGATTTTATTTTTTGTATTTTGAATTCTCTGTGTTTCTTTAGTCAAAGTAAAAATCACGAAGTTATTGTCTCATACACAGATTGGTTGGTGTATAGTATAGTTTTAATTTCCTAGTAGAAAATAATAATACATGTACAGTAAATGTCAGTTCAAAGACTAAAATCCGTTGTATACATCATAATCAATTCCTTACATATCAATTATTTTGCCTTGATAAATAGTATACAAAATTATTTACATATAAATAACAAAAAGTTCAATTAATTGACGAGTTCTGAAACACAATTATGCACGTTCACATTTGCTTCTGACGGTCTGTACTGTCATCAAATTTGGTTGCTAAAAAGAGAGAAAAGTGCTTCTAAATGTGTTTTATTTTATTTCTTTTAATTTTCTAATCTATTGATCATTGTCTGATAAAAATTAGAACACGGTAGTCTGAGTAATATTAAACATTTGCCTTGTAAAATTGTGATATCTCACAAATGACTGTTTCAAATTTTCTTGATTGTTCAAAAAAGGTACCTAGCTTTTCATCCTTCAAACAGTGTAATTTGAATTTACACAAGCTTTGACGAAAGAACATTACGAAAGAATGTTTAATATGTGTTGAAGAATTTGTACAACTCCCTTGAGAAAGTTTTTTTTTCAGCATGGAAGAAACTCAAGAAGCCATTACTAAAACGATCTTAATAACTTTCGTAATAAAGGTTAAATTAATGAATGAACATGTATGTAAGTAAAGTACAAGACACCGACATTCATAGTGATATACACCACCTTGATTACACGGCTGACAAAAGGGGCCTTTTTTTATCCACGTTTACTTAAGACTCCGAAAACGTTTAGTGTCAAGGGTACCCGATGACGGTTATTTAAACAACAAGTGTCATGCGCAGTAATATCGATATCATAAGCAGCGAACATTTGATTCTGGGTTGATGGGGTGGCAGGCATTTTTGGTTGGGTCAAAATATGTACCTTCAATGTGCATGTTGCTAATTTGATTTAATATTCACTTTCGTTTCCTACCAGAAGATTTATTTTCAAATTTTAGGGCCAGAGTATCTTTTTTCCAAAAACTGCCAGACCCCCTCTTTAGAATTAAATGGTCGTTTCCTTATCACACACAATCTCTCTCGTCGGAATTCATGTCTTGTCTTGTTTGAGCAATATATGATTATGGAACTATAACCCCATTTTAAGTTTTCAAATTATTACAGTTTAGTAATCTGCTTCAACCAACATAACTGGTTGCCCCATGAAAGGATTGGTTCTACGTCCTGTTGCCGTCTGGTAGCTGGGTGGTGGAGATCGCAGGAGGTCTAACTCTCGGTTGAACTGTCTCATTGCGGTGGTTTGTAGTGTATCTGGTTGTGATGACACCACAGCTTCCATTTCAATCGGTACTGCGTCAACGCTTTGAACAATCAACGGAGACAATGGCTGAACGCTGTGACGATGGATCATTGGTGAATTTTCCATTCCAGTGGAATCCATTACATTCATTTCGTACTCGACAGGCGTGAGTCGTGAGCTTTCACTTATACTAGGTGAAGGCTGATGATTGGTAGTAAGCAACTGGTTATCAACAACATAAATCGCATTTCCCATCGTGGTAGTAGGTGGACGCTTAGAATTCTGAATCGTTGTTGATTGTCTCGAAACATTTTCTGGTGTATACTGAGATGCTACAGACAAAGCTTGTTGTCTACTTTGTCTGGATGTTTTCTCATTATACACAATTGCAGATCCTACGGCTGTTTCTGTATGATTATCTTTTGATTTCATATCGTCACTTTCTTCAGTATTAGGAGTTACTGATTCATTTAACTTTGTACTTTTGTGGGCGATATTGGCAAACGCAAAATTTGTGTAGGCAGCTGGGGCAGTTGAAAATGAGGCATCTTGTTCGTCACGAAATGCCACATTTTTGGACATATACATAAACTCGTGACGCAGAGGAGCATGACCAACTACAATACGGTCGTCTTTTTGAAACATATCATCCATTACATCGTCCACCTCGGGCATGGGCAAAGGTCTCTTCTCATCTTTAAACCTAAAAACAAACATTCCGATTATTAATCAGTACAAAAAAAATTATTCAAAAGGCATATAATTGCATCTATTCCTGGTGAAGCGCAAGTCCCTGCGGGATATCGCAGTTTTTTTTTACTAGCATTAAATATTGACAATGATACTTGGGAAATTTTAATTTGACAAATAATTTAAAATTTGCTAAATACCGTATTAAAGTTCACCATATCACGATGCACATGTGTTCCTCAGTAGGTACACATTATCTTTGTTTCATGTATAATTTTTGCTATTCAAGTTTAAATACTTCCGTCATTTCCAAATTTTTTCAATCATCGCTTACAAGACATGCATATTCTTGTAAAGGCTCTTTGTTAAATATTTTAAAATAAATACGTTTGGTTTTTAGATTTGTTTTTTGAAAAATGCATATGAGAGGTGTCTGGAGAGGCGACATAAGTTATATTAAATGAAATTTTGGCCCTATCCGACCCTTTGTAATGAGCAATTGAAAACGTTAGTGGTTATCTCGCGGCTACCAAAAAAATCTCAACTGAATAAAAAAAAACTCGAACCTGCCAATAGGTATATGTAAAATATAATGTATGTCGGTCTTCCGGACTTCTCCAATAAAATAGTCTAAAACACAGTAAATAGCACGTACAAACAATGTACTGTGTCAACAGAAGACTATACATCAGTTTTTTTTTGTGATTTTTTTTTGTTTTTGTTCCCAATAATGATGATTTTTTTTTAATTCAAACCTTTTAGATTTGTCGTCATTTGAGAAAAACCTACAAACAGTTTGCAAAATACATATTCACGGCTTTTACTTTAATCAAATATTATCAGTTTTGAATTTGTACAATCTCAGTGTAGCTAGCCTCTCGCGTACACGATATAGTTGTCTGACTGACAACTTAATTTAAATAGATATTCCAATTTACGAAAAAAATAATTCTGGAAGCTTACTCATCCTTCTTTGACCATCTACATTTCCAACAGATCACAAGAGTAATGATAACCGCCAATATAACTTCAGCACATATAATGATGAGGACGTATTCCCATCTAGGTAGGTCAGCCATTATTCATACTACAGTTTTGTCTGTAAAATAGCTAAAAAATGTATAACGAAAAGTAGTAAAAAATAACAAAAATTTAGCATGACTGCATGATACTGTAATGTTTAACTGTCTTTATTAAGTAAGGAGACAGACATGACCCGACGCTTCAGTGTGCTTTCTCGTGTTCTATTCGCCCACCAAATTCAAATGTTCGATATCATAAGAAAATGGTATTTTCCAAAATATTTTATTGTTTTCTTCTTTTCAAAGGTTGAAATTTTAATAATGATGGGAAAAAAAGGAAAAAATATGTCAGCACACATAATCCGACACACATAAAACTAATGGTGCTTTTACACGAAACACACTGAATTAATTTCGGGGTGAACAAACTTCTGACCGATATACATGTATGACATCATGTTGTTAGTTGACAATTTTCAATTATCTAACACTGTGTTACCGATTTGTTGCAGATAACGTAAGAAACCGATTTCAGTACGTGTGACACGTGTCTCAGAAATTAAGGTCATCGGGTACGAGTGTGTTAATAATTTGGAAGAACTATAACAGTTAAAATCTTCACACTCGCCAAGAGCTTAATAGAACAGTCAATTTTTACTGAGTGTCCAATTACAGGATTATCTATTTTCAGTTTATAAATTACTGTAACATTTCTTAAATTAAGTTTAAAATGTATCATTTGAATTAGTAACGAAACAATGACCGTACAGGTCGAGAAAAAGAAATTTGGCTCGTTCAGCCGTTAAATACTTTACTATATTTGCTGTTTCATATCAAAACGTTCATTTATTTTGACTACACGATTATTTCCCCATTATATAGTTCTGCTTTCAAATGTTTATATTTTTCTAAGAGGAGAATAATGTGATTAAATGCACAAATAATTAAACATTTCAAATTCGCAAATAAAGTTTGACACATTAGGACTGACACTCTATTTCATACCATTAAGAACATCACTTGTTTATCAATTGAACTATTTATTTAAGATTTATTATGAAATAACACAACACTGGAAAATAATATTTCTTACAGGTCAACGAATCGCTTTAAAACATCATAAAACGGATCTAATGACCACAGCAGACGACATCTGCTGTTGTATGTATTCTACGTAAAAACGGAAATATGAAATAAATCGAAAAGTATATGATTTCCCCTTAAACAAACTAACTTAACATTGAGGTCCGAATATTGATGATTGTTATATACAACAGTTTATAACAAACCTTTCTAAAATTGTCTGTTTATAAATTTTAAAATTATAAAGAAACTAAGGTTTCAACTCTCTCAGGCAAAGTTGACCTTAGATGAATTTGGCTATTTGTTTTAGGTATTTTTGTCTTATAGCTCTTCAACTGTTTCGGTACTTATACATCCCTCGGATTTCAAATGTTTGGCTTTGAGCGTTCCTGATGAAGGTAAATCCAGAAAAGCGCTTCGGACGCATGAAATTATTAAACGTGTTGTTTTCAATTTTTTAACCAGATGTTTGTCTTGATGTATTTGAGTTTTGAAATGTTTGACATACTATTAATTGCTTTGAAAATCTTACTGCAGCATATTTTGAGAAAAATTTAACTAAATGCACTTAAAGACAACAAATTTGATAAGTATAAACTAAATCTCATCCAATCATACTTGCAGCAATAAAATTTATAACAGAAACCCCACTACTTCATAACACTCATCAGGGAATCATTGCAGTCAATTTGGATACTTTAAGAGTTATATGAATTAAAATTGCAAATTTTCCGACCAGTGTATTAAACGTACTTTTAAAAATAGATACAATTTTTACATGTCAAGTATTTCATGACAGCAAAAATAAATTTGTCAAAGCGATAAAAGTCTAACAAAATTATACATGCAATCCAAATATAATTCAAGTAACATCTTCACAATACGTAGAAAAAGGCCGTGAAAGGTGTAGTGTATCCTAGCATTGCTGTTATTTGGTCTTGACAATTTCAAATTTCCGATCACTTTATATACCTTTTAAGAAAGTCTGAGTTGAAATGGAAAATGCTATTGAAAAAAGCATGCAACACATGACACCCGATTATATTTTTCTGTTTAAAAAGGTTTCAAAAGGACATTTTTCTTTTTCCTTTCTATTCGAAATTAACATTTAATAGTGTTTTTTTTTCTTTATTTTTTAAATGTGACCTTTACAATTTCTAATATAGCAACTTCGTGAACTTTAATTCCCCGTAGGTCAATGATTTCGGCCTTGCGTATGATTTATTACGTACTTTCCTTCAATTAACAGCTAATAGATTTTGTATTGTTCACTTCTCTCTCAAGACAAGCTGGTTATTTTTTGAAGGTTAAACCCCGAAAATCTTCAGTCCGGACTGAATTTGTATGATCTGTAACAGCTACAGTATTTTATCAACTTGTGACAGATTTAATTGCCGAACAGTTGAGGTTGTGGTTTCACATCTGATAACAGTTAACTGAGAAAAGACAATGACCTTAGTTTTGGAGGAAATAAGTTTTATTATCAAAATACATATGCACTGAATATTCACACATAATGATTTGTTTTTGTTACATCATTCCCACTGATGTCCAATATATGGAATGTCTTTAGGATTAGGGTATTTGGATCTAGCTAAATCCAAAACACATTTTGGCATAATTTCCCGTCTGTGATAAACTACCCATTCCCCTCCTCCTATATTTTTCTTTCTTTCCATCACTTGACAATATTGTAAACCATTACCAGAACAACCATCAATGGTGCCATCCAACTTCACGTTGTAAAACTGAACCTTATTATACATTATCCCGAACTATGATAAGAGATGACATTGCAGCTGGACTTCTGATAAAGGCTATACAGTTCTTGTATATGTACAAAAAGCCAGGGAAATATATACATTGTTTAAATACGCATTATATCGAAAGTTTTCATAATACATTGTTGTTATATGTTGACAAAAGGGTTCATTATGGAGATAAAACGTATGAAATCAGAACGGGCTTAGGGGTTTTGGATTGGAATGAACACGTTGATCGTCCAGTGTCATCTGAGAAAGTGTTCCGTCGTGCCGCACAAACACGTAATCGTGCACCTGAAAGGGTTCTAAAACCTAAAACATATTCATTTGTGATAACTTTATGGGATATTTATTGCAACTTTCTTTCGGGTGACATTCAACCAATTAATATCTGTGATAATATTCAGGAAAATAAGGTGAAGATGATAGCATACTTCAGGAAAGTGATGATAGTGACAATGAGGAATCGGACGACGATATTTCATTGTGATATATTCTTTTGTATGTATTTATTTTCAGAGTGCAATTATATGTATAAATTGAAGTTTTATTTTTATTATTTATATTTTCCCTACTACAACACATGTATAATATGGTCTATAAGCCAATGAAACTTTCAAAAAGCATGATGAATGTGTCCACTTCTTGAGCAAAAGTGTCCATATTTGTCTTCTAAAAATTTCTTTCATCAATGAAGCAATATACACAAATATGAAAGAAGTATTGATTAAAAGTACATTGTCATGAATTTTGACTTGCGAATTTTGATCACAAATTAATATGAACAATTGAAATGAAGTTACATGTAAAGATATGGAAACATTAAAAATTGTAAACACACTTTATATTTTGACCTTCATTATACATTCTTTACCTAATGACATTTCAAGTATTTGTAACAAAAGTATAACAAGGCTAGGCATCTGCAAGTCATCAGCTGCTTGTTGTCAAATATATGGTCATAAATTTAGAGATAAAGAGAAACCATACAGTGACTTTCCTCATCACCAAACTGATCAAAAAGCGGTGTACTTCGGGGTTTAAGCCTATTTCAAGATTCTTATAGAGAAACAGTTCTATTAAGTTGCGTCGATCCCTTTCCTGTCAATTAACAGATAATAGATTTTGTATTGTTTGCTTCTCTCTCAGGACAAGCTGATTAAGCCTTTTTCAAGATTCTTTATGGAGAAACAGTTCTTTTAAGTTGCGTCGATCCCTTTCCTGTTAACAACGTTTGGCTGTGAACGGTGTTGATGAATTATATATATTGACTATGAATGCCAGTTGGACGCGGCAAAAAAGAACATTTTAAATTAGAATTGTTATAAATAATTATTTCGCAAAAGCGTTTAATTTTGTCAGACAGAATACATGTATAACTCGTGGTGTATGCTTTTCACAATATCGAGTTTTAATCACTAAGAGATGTTTCCCTCATTTATCTACGTTAGTATCAGACTTACTGACAAAACCTCCGGTATCCGCATACCGAGCGTTGAAATTCATTGCCCGTTGATATAGATGTTTAAATGTTTGTTTAACAGTTTGCGCGTGTTTATACACGAAACACTAAACAAAAGCCGGATATTGCATCAGAATATCCAAAATGACATAATAATTGTGGAAGTTCAATTGTCAATCCATTAGGTTGAAGCAAGGAATGGAATTTAGTGCATTTGATATGTCACCTCTTTTTGAACGTAGTAATTGTGAAAAATTACAATCTAAACGCATAAAATACAAATATTTGTTTTTCCTGACCACATGTAAGTGATAAATAAAAGGTTACGTGCGTTCCCGGTAGTTCAACATCCTTCCCCTTTGAGGGTTGAAATGATTGCCAAATAATAAATTCTTTCAGTCTGATCAGAAAACTTACTTATCTTATCCAAATTAATTGTATGTTCCACTTCCTGTTCCTTGCAAAGCGCTTTCCACGTAAACTACACGTGTAGTGTAATCTCATTTTTTGTTGTCTAATACGTTATTTTGTTGAAACAAACATAATAATCTCGCCGGAGATTCACGGAAATATGTTTAATTCAGGTTAAGCTGGGACTATTATACTAACTTAGTATAATAGTCCCAGGGTTAAGGGACATAACTTCTTGAAAATCACTAGTGTGTTTGTGGCAGCCATTTTCATGCATATTTTGCAATCTTCTAAACAACACAGATTAATAAATTAAGTTTCGCAAGAATGCTTTAAAACATTTACAATATTGTCTATTACAAA